ACACACACACACACACACACACACACACACAGTCAGATGCACACACAGAGACTCACTAGCGGCTACTGTATTCTCAAAGGCTTATCGGTAAGTATTTCCCAGCAGCCTTGTCCCAGAGGCTGTACTCTGCCCACTCTGTTGCGGCATGAAGAGTTATGGAGGAGCGTTAACAGGTTTCCTTTGTCTTTCTCTTGCTACTCTGCCCTAGGCTTTACTTCTGCTTGTAAAATCAACCTGCGGCCAAGCCCATTCCCTCGGCAGCCATATCCTTTATCACAAAACGGGTGAAAACAAAGAATGCGCTGTGAGCCAGAGCCGGGGCCAGAGCCATATCTCGCAGCCAAAAGACGAGAAGAGATTTACCAGTTGTAGTTCTTCCTCGAGCTGTACCTGTCTGTCCAACAGCCCTATCCTCTCTTGTCTTTTAGTATGAGACATGTGCTGGGCTGGAGGTGGATTAGCATGGAGATGAAGATGACTCCCTGATCAGCCCATATTATGCACGACACCTCAGAGTGCTTCGACGATAGCAAGGGTGGGTTATGAGGGGAAGGGGGGGGGGCTATACGCATAGCGGCCGCTAACATGAGAAGGCATCAGGCAGGCGTGTGATTGATGTCTCAGCTAGCGTCTGTAGGCAGGTTAATGGTGTGATTGTGGAGGTAATCTCCGTGTTCTCTCGTTAAAGGATGATGGAGGGCCAGGAGACCCCGTGTGTCTCTGGAAAATGGAGCCCAAGCTGTTGCCTTCACAGGATCCCAGCCTTTTTACATATGCAGTTGGTATCCCACGTTTGATGTATGCACTTCAGAGGGAGCCAGGCCAGCAGAGCACACTGTCAGTGAAGAGCTGATGACTATAGCGGTGGGTTCAGCCACCCCGCTGTAGTGGCCATGTAGTTCAGGTGTAAACTCATGTTAGTAATAGTTTGTCTCGGTGCCACAAAATGCTGTCGGAGGTTTGCTTGTTGTCACGTCGAGCAGCAGAGGTTTGGCTGGAAAGGAGCCCTGGGTGACCAAATTACTGCTATTCACAGTGAAAAGGAAGCACACATAAAAACAGTGGGTATGAAACAAACCAGAGCTGAACCAACACCAGTTGTTGATGTACTCATAACCCACACATAGAGCTGTTTATGGGGCCAGCGTGCTTCACACATTTTCACTATTTGTAGACCAACATGGCAACATTAACGTCATGTGCTGGAAGGAGAGGGGAGGCAAGTGGGCATGCGGGTGGTTGGAGGTTGGCGGGCTGGGAGTGGGGGGGTTAAATTTGGGTATATATGAGTGAAACAACAGCATAGTGTAGCAGGGAGCTGGCTGAGAGCTGCAGACTATTGCATCTGTATTGATTGGGCTCCAGCCTTTTCCATTTTCCATGAACTCCTCTGAGCTGCTCCAAGTGGGAGTGATGGGGGGATTTGCTTGATCTTTATGATATTTCTTTAAACATGATGGTGTCGTTATGCTTCCCCCGGGGAAGACGCCAGCCAGCCATTTCCAGTAAATCAAAGGCTCTCTGTCCCTCGCTGTTTTCCACACACCTTATTTATAACCCCACTGAACACCCCCAACACACCACCTCCACAACCACCACCACCATTCACATGAGGGTTTTCTGCCTTTGCAAAATGAATATTTTTCAAGTGTAGTCATACCGTTGAGGAGCAGCTCGGCTCAGCAGCACCACGCACTCGACCCTCCGTTGTGGAGTCAATCGAGCCGATCCGACAGAGGCTGTAATCAACAGTGACAGAACTGACATAGACAATAGATGACAATAATTTGAATTCCGTCTGCTTTTGGACTGGGGAGGGGGCTTTTGAGCCTGATTTTGTGTTGCGGGGCAGAGGATGTCGAGAGGTAGCCGGGGTACGTCCTCTGACTATACAAACAGGCCCGCGGTCTTAGCAGGAGCTGGGCGCAGGATAACCCACATACCCACTAGCGCAGGTGCCCTCTCCATGGGGCCAGGTGGTGGCTAATTCGCTTTCTTTGTCCCTCCTAATGAATCGTTAATTGGTTTGCATCACCCACTGAGCTGAGGATAGCAGGTGCCGCGTGCTGCTGATGATGGAGGCCACTGTCACTGGCGAGCCTCCCCGCTCACGCCGGTACCTACATTTAACAGGCCAAATGTCACGTCGCAACATGCAGCAGCTTGGCGCTTAAACGGGAAGGTTATCGTCATAGTTTACGTCATGTTTCTGTAGTGGTCAATATGGAAACAGAGCTATTGCATTGGCTGGTCTACAAGCAAGGGAGTATGCTGTATGTCTCTGTAACACATACAGGAGTGTTTGCTTCATTTATTGGCAGGATGCTGTGAGGTTGACCTTTGCTCTTGTTACTATTGATTCAGTGTTTGCTATTTAAGATTTTAAGAATTTTCTGCTCTGTTTAAAAGCGTCAATTTAATAACTGAGGTGTAAAATATGATGTGCATTGTGAGTTATGAAAAATGTCAGAGTTATATTAGTCAGTGTTTACCTTAACGTTGTCTCCTCCCCCTGCAGGTGGTTGCTCTGAACAAGCGCAGTAAGGAGGCAGAGTCTGCGTTCCTTGGAATCTACAAACAGCTTATCGAGGCCCCAGGTGAGTCTCCCACTAAGACTAGAGATGTGCATCTCCACAAACAAGAGCGGCACCATAAACACCACACGCACACACATTATGTGTTTTTTTTATATATATGAGGCAACACACAAAAGTTAGCTCCTTGCCATAGATGGATATGGTGCAACAGCACATGGATATAAGATACATAAAACCCTATACCCTGTGGCTCTTATCTATTTTTCAAAGTATGTGCTCTCAGAGTGGTTTCCAAAACTCTGCATGAGGCCACTTCAAAACCCAGCACTGGTCCTTGAGTGTAGCCTGGCTGAGGAGTGAACATATCCTTGAGGAGCACTGCTGTTGATTGTGGAGGGCCAATTAAAATCCCAACTGAAGTCTGGCTTCGTGTGGAACGCAGGCCTGATGAGGCCAATGGGGGGAAAAGGGAGAGAGAGGGGGCAAAGACAGCAAGTCACAGCGGCGGGAAGACATATTGTGTGTTTATTCAGTTGTTATTTCAGTGCCAGGGCAGATGTACTGTATTGCTCTTTGTTGCAGGAGACGGCAGCAAAACGCAGCCCAATCTCAGTCTAGATCAGAGAAACACTTGTGGCAGGAGTAGAGAATGCTGTTTACAGATTCAATGAATACAAGATAAAAGTCTGCATCAGAGAAACAGCGACGGCAGCAACTGACTTTTAAAGGTCTCCATTTTTCCTTGAAGTCCCCTGCTTGATATTGCACCCCCACATACACACACACAAAGACGCACACACTTTGAATGGAGTTATTTCCGTGATAAAAAATGTCGTTCTTTGAAGATGTTTTCAGTTTGATTTTCTGACCTATACCTTTTATATCCAGACTTTTAATTCAAGCCCCGGAGCATCTTGTGGGAAATATTTTGTCACAAACCAATCTCAAGTAGAAGACTGAGTCAACTAAGAGTTGTTATGTTAAAGAACAAAGACTTAATAAAAAGAAAGGCCAATGTCACCCATTATCAACTCTTAAGAGAGAAAAAACTGCAGTAGCTTTTGTTTTCAGTGTGCTTGCTTTTTTCCCCCTACCTGTCTTATACAGTGAATATGAATTCACACAGTCTAAGAGTGGTCAATATATTGAGCAAACAGGAGTCGACCTTCCTGTGTCAGGTTACATCAGGTGATGTAGCACTGCCAGCCTGCTACGTTCATTTGCCTCTACCTTAACAAAGGAGTCTGTTTCACTGTATCATACAAAGTGAAGCTGATTGTTATAAAACAAATTAAGTCAATTACTCTGTTAAGTTAAGTAACTTTTTTAATAAAGTAATATCATTACGTTATTAATTACTTATCAGAACAGGAATTTGCATTAACCATAGGTTACTAGTTATATGTAAACATCTCTTATAACTTTTCCAATCTTCTTCTGAGCTGTTTTCAGACAAGCACTGAAATCCGAGCATGAGAACACAAATTTGAGTCAGTTGCTCCAGACATTTTCTGGAACTTTTCCTGACAGGCCGTTAGTAAAATGTCTAGAAAACGCCTCTAACAAATGACAGAAGCAAAATTAAATAAAAAAAAAAAAAAAACTAAATGTATCAGGGTGAAAAAGAGGTGCCTTTCATGCAGAGGACACAAAGGAAGATGTCAAATTGGGAAGAGCTGTTAGTGATTATGGGCCATCAACAACAAGTTTAGCCATGCTGACTGCTGGCAGCTCTTCAGATTCTGGAGTCCAGAGCATGTGAAGCTACAGTGTTACCAGCTCTCTAACCCTCTCTTAACAAAATCTGCTGGTTCCTATATATATATATATATATATATATATATATATATATATATAAGAGGATATAAGCTGAGAAAACACAACATATGGAGAGTGTATTCTTCCTCTTTTGGCTGAGGCCAGCTGCCTCTTTACATCTCTAGCTGCTGCGCCAAGCCAACAATCTGTAGGGCGAAGTGGGCAACTGCCCAGGACAACCCCAAGAACAAAAACAAATTAACTGACAAAAAAAAGTTAATGTTGTTACAGAATAGAAGTATCAGCAGGTTTCTGGGCCTTTGGGCAAACACTCAAGTTGCTTCTGTGTGCTCTGGATTTAATGGGAACATGTAATCAAGAGAGTGGTAAGTGGGGACTCAAGAGCAACAGGTTAATCTGGGTAAGCAGTCTCTCCACTAAACAAGAGACTCTTAAACACCCCCAAGTATTGGAGCATACCTGGGCTAAGTAACTGAGCTGGTCCAGGCTGCTGGTGGTAGTATAATTCTGTTGGGAATGTCTTCTTGACACACTTAATTAACACCAATCAATCATGGTTTGAAGGCCACAGTAATCTTGCTGACCATGTTCATCCCTTTATAGCCACAGTTTACCAACTTCTAATGGCTGCCTCCAACAGGATATTGCTCCATGTCACAAAGAAACTGGTTTCACAAACATCTTAGTGAACTTCAGTGGCCTCCCCAGTCGCCAGATCTGAATCCAGTACAAAACTTCTGGGATGTGGTAGAAGGGGAGATTGGCAGAATGAATGTGCAGCTGACAAATCTGCAGAAATGATGTGATGCTGTTATGTCAACATGGAGCAGAATCTCAAGGGAAGATTTCTTATATCTTGGTGAATCCATGCCAAGATGAGCTGAGACGGTTTAGGGAGCAAATGAAGGAACTACCCAGTAAAGTTCTTGATGAGTGTATGTCCCAACAGAAAGTGTCAGGTTTCCTTTTGCCATCTCTCACCGGCACTGACTCAAATGTTCGATTAAACATTCCAGGTAAAAGAGGAATCATGTCTGGATGATTCAATGCCAGTGAATTCATTTATATAGCACCAAATCCTTACAGTACTTACTATCAAACTAAGATTGACTGGGGTCATTGATGAGAGACGTTGAGAGATTCTTGTCTTAAAGGGAGGGTTGGTAAGTTGTTTCTGAAGCACTTTTTATTTTATTAGTTTAAATCATGTTCCCGTCCCAATAGCCATCAATAAATTAAGACGTCTGGTCCTCATAGGACTGTAATAAACACAACCAATCATATCATTTGGAATGAATCACATGATTGGCTGGTGTACCTGTCTGTCACTAAACGTCCTGCCTGGCTGTGTGCACCCTGCCTCACTGCTCATGACCGGAGTCATACACCGCTGAAGCAGAGACGATTGCCATAGCAGGGCCTGTATTGTAGCTTTGATGAGAGGGCTGATGGGAGGGGTTAGGATGTGTGGGTTGCTCTTTCTCATAGTCTGCTCTTGCTAGCTTTTCCACGATTACCAACCGTAGCTTTAAATCATTTCTTGTTATTCAAGTCAGCAGTTTTACCAGCCAAGTCACCTCAACAAGACTCCACGATCACCAAATCTAACACAGTAATCATTGTAAAAGACAAATATAAACCGTAGACTCATCCCATCATTGCCAGACATCCTCCCCGACTTATACGCCCGCAGCCAACCAGGAGTCAGAGCAATGAGAGTATTTGTTTGTCAGGCCCTTGCAGAATCTGCCATCTGTGAGGTAGGACCTACAGTATCCTGTGCCTGTTTGTCACTGTACATCTTGCTGCTAGTGTCCAAGGTCACAACTCCCCCCCACTCTCTCGCCTGCCCACCCCTTGCTAGAATGGATGACTCCAGGTACGCCGGAGGACAGTCATTTGGCTGTGGCCCCACTTCATTTCTCTCTGCCCCTCAAACACAACAGTGAGCTTTCCCACCGTTCCCCCAACAAACGCTACAGCTCATGTATTTTTAATCTTTTGACAGATGCAATTATTCTTTACACGCCGTGCTCGTTAATCTTAATGCAGTTATTACTATTCATTGCAGGAAGTTTTTCCTTTCTATTATTTCATTTGAAAGTGCCTGTGTGTGTGTGTGTGTGTGTGCGCGTACGTGCACACGCTCATTTGTGTTGCGACACTAAGGCTGTGGGTCCAATCAGAGCAGGCCAACGACAGAATTAATGAATGCAAGAGGTGAAGCAGGAAAGGAGGGGGAGGGACACGCGGCGGCAGCTCAATATGTGACCTGTTGTATCTGGCTATCATTAACATCTGGTCACATATCAGTTATCCACTTTGCTCTGCCTACTATTGAATACGAATATCATATCTGTTACAATTGAGAGATTCCAGTATGATAATGTTACGCTTAAGATCGTGCTCCTGCTCAATGGCAACTTGAATGCAACAGTAAACTCAGAACAGAAATAACTTCTTGATGCAAGTGATTGAAGTGTTTTTTTTCCTCTCTTCTTTTCCCCTTTTATGAGGCCCCTAAGCCAACATGTCAATCCACCAGAGTGTTTCATTAGCGTATATTTTGATTTGCCTGTGACATCTCCCCATGCTGTGTACTGTAACTCCTACCCAATCTGAATCTTGAAAGAGGTCTGTTAACAGCATTTCCCTAACAATGTTTATATCACCTCCGCACGGTTTTGATCAGTGCAGATAAACACGTCCTGATCACTGAATGCTGAAAAACAGTGGCAGCTTCTGCCCGAATTCACCGGTTTTCCCAGAGATGCACCTTACTTCCCCCCTTATCTTTTTTCTTCCTCTCCTTCCAGCCGCCGTCTCGCTCTTCTCTGCTGGAGTGTGTGCGAGTGTGTGTGAGCGAGCGAGAGTGGCGTTTGAACGTCTGCGTTTGTTGCCACCTCTGTGAGAGCAGCGAGGCCCTGTCGCCAGGGGCGTAGCCCTGAGACTGATGCTCCAGGTGTTTGCTCTTCCTCGCCTCCTCTCAGTACACACACTCATCCCTCAGGATCCACCTCGCTCCCTCTCTCCTTTAGAACACGGTCCCTTTTATCTGAGCGTGGAGCTCACTGAGAGTTTGTGAAGATTCTGATCTGAATACACCTCTAAGTGCGTGTGTGAGTGTGTGCGCACCAAGCCTAAGGCATGTCTGAGGTGTTAGTCTATATGTGTGTGCGCTCGCTGAAAATATTATGACAACAGTGCTTGCGTGTGGTGACCACTGGTACTGCAGAGCAAGCACAATTACAAGCAGCTTTTTGTCACATTAAGTCACGTGTCTTCTTGTGTCATGAGATGGTTGTAAGTGCCTCACATATTCACATCAGATGTTTCCCTCGGCTATAAGATTATCTGAACAGGACACTCTGACCTTAGTAATTCACAGTCATTCAGATGCATAAAGAATAGCTGTCCTTTTTCAACCCTCCATATACATAAGCAAGCACCATCAAGAGAGGCCTGCAAGGCACAGCGAGCTGGCTTTATTGTAATTGTGCAGCTAAGTACCTTCAGTCAGGATGAGAGCAAACGAGGAGTGTTGTGTGCGTTTGTGGCAGTCTGTCGGAAAATAAGGGCGTATAAAATGTGATGGAAAATGAAAGCTCTCTGGGCGGGACGAGATTATGCACAAGTGATTAATAAGAGCAGTAATAAACAAAGGCCCAGGAGATGTTTGAGGTGCTTAATAATGCATTATGTTCATAAAAGAGCCGGGCCTCTCCAACTGATCCCCGTGGAGTAGGAGACCCCAGAGGGACCATGGGAGAGTGTGCTCTTAAAAGACAGAAGCTGTGAGCGTGTGTGGAGGAATGTGTGTGTGTGTGTGTGTGTGTGTGTGTGTGTGTGTGTGTGTGTGTGTGTGCACGCGTGTGTTTGAACCACGGGATTAAAAACTAAAGACAATATACTGGAATATTTGATGATGATAATTGATAGTGATTTGTCTTACATGTAACACATGTAAGAATGGCAGACTGGTTGTTTTATTTTTGTATAATTTCAGGTGTAGTTTGGTTTGAATGTCTTCATCACTACTTTGTTTGCCCCAGCATCTCATGTTAATTTTAAATACTTTCTATCTGCGGCTCCACTCTTTGTTCCGAGCTTTAAAACGACTCAGTATTGATGTCATTCCTTCTCCGTCCTTCAGTCTGTCACGCAAAGACATGCAACAGCAATGAAAAAGAGCAGGTTAAGAAGTTTGTTTTGTTCGCACACAAAAGCTGCTGCTTCCCACATTCATTTCATTTTTTCGTCATTCCACCCATCTTTTTATTTTAGTATCTTCTCACTCTATCTGCCACATCAAAGCAAAGTGAGACTTGAGTTTGCTACCTGAATATCAAATGCGCCTTGGTTTAAAATCCACCACAAACAGAAAAGTCATGTTTATGAATTTGTTCCAAGCAGTCTCTCTGTGTTTTTTTTCTTCCAAACGAATCCTTGACTGGTGGAAGAAAAGAGGGAGCAATTTATCCTACATACCTTGTATCACTTACATTGTCTGTGAAGGTGAAAGTAAAGTGTTCTTTCAACCTAGTTTTGGTCCTTGACAACAATATTACAGCAGTGTTACTGTTTGTTGCAGCAGCGGAGGAGCATGTTTATGGACCTTGAAGTCCACTCAGAGGAAAAAAACAAGACTGTTTTGAATGAAAAGAAAAAAACCTTGGAGCACAGCCTTGTAAATTAATTTGTTCGTGTTGTATGATGGGAACACAGCTGGCCTCATTAACATGCGCACAACAAATAATTATAGCTTTTTTTTCTCTCTTCAGCCAGCCAATGCTTGGCTAATGGGCTTGCTGGGTTAATTATGTCAGAGCGTAATTACACAGGGCCCAGGGAGACATAATGGTGCACCCTGCTGCGCCCACACCGCCTAATGATGGTGTATCGCTGACAGGGCCAAGACGGACCGCCCCGACACACCTGCTTGTCTTGGCGCGCACTACCCTGGTCCACCCTTACCCACCTAGACACACATCCTGAACCTGTGCACCGTCCTCCACTGTGCCACCCGCGGTCCCCCGAGCCGATCCAGGCTTCTGACAGGTTTTGGCTCCAGCTCACCCAGACAGAGTAACTGCCTCCCGCTTTGAGATGTGCAATATCACAGAAACAGCAACGCAGTGACCACAAGGAAGCAGCTACAGGGTGGCAGCCTCATTATCCCTCAGCCCAAGTGATGAAACTCAATATCAATGCAGCTGAGACTCTGCGAAAACCTTTAAAAGCCATGCTTAACTTTTATTAGCTATTAGCAAGTTAGAGTTCATCATAAGATGGATCTTATTTTTTGTAGTTTCGCACAGCATGCTTTACCAAACATCTCCCCCACTTTAAATTCATCCAGTTTCCATATATACAGTCTGTGATCAGTCCTTTGACTTATAGATCACCATAGATATTAGATATAAAAAAAATGTATTATCCTTTTTTTTAAATACTTCTTTTAAAAACAAAAGGAGGATGAAATTTAAGCATCATGAATATAAAATATATATGAAAATGTCAACAAAATTCTAACTTGACATGACAGAATTTTTTAATTCATATATTTCAATAAAATGTGTGTACTAATTTTTCAAAATACAGTATAATCTAGTCTCCTCCCATGGAGAACAGCACCAAGTAATTTCAAAGTCATTTGTGATCCTGGAACATGGTGACATTGCTAAAAACAGTTGCAACAGAAGCAAGCAACACAGACAGACACTGGCCCAGGTTGTAAAAATCCCCAGGTTAGACAAATCTGGAAGAGAAAACAAAGGTGAAGAGTAAATTTAGTCCCTAAACTGTGTCAGGCGTTAACATCCAGCACAGTTTTCAGACTCCCTGCTTCTGTCCTGTTTTCTGTGCAATGTGGAATTATAATAAAGACATTTCAGATGTGATGATATGCTTTTCACTGCTGCTTCCACATGCATTTGTTGCAAAGTGAAAATAAACAGTCGGCCTGTTTTCAACCCATCAAATTTGACTTTGTTGTAGCGATTGTCACACCTTCTCAGACCTCAGTACTCTGGCGAGTATGATCTTATGATGGCAGAAATTATGGAAATGGTAAAAAAAAAAAAAAGACTTTGAGGTTGTAATAAACAAGAATTATTCTTTAACGGCCAACAGCTTCTTATTTTGAGTGAACAGATACGTTTATGATTCCACAACGAGAGCAGGGCCCGCGTTTCGCCCGATATGATGATGATGTATTAAATGTCCTGTGATTTATTAGCTTAAACGAGCTGCTGTTGCCCAATCAGTTATCATGACCTCAGAGCAGGCATCCAATCATCTGTAATTAAGATAAGGGATGAATTAAAAACTGAAGCGTTTATTTGCACCAGGAGTGATGTGACTCACTCGACGTACATAATGCCTCGTCAGCCGTGTTATACTTCTTGATTAACAGGAGTGTGAGCGGTCGGGTCGGAGTTGAATTCCTTGTCCATTCCAGGTTTCATTTGGCGGATGCGGCATCAAAGCTGCGATAAAACAGAAAAAGAATAGGTGCTCCTTATTAGCTACATCAAATAGCTCTATTTTCCAAAGTTATCCTCAGTCTTTGTGGACTCTCCGTCAGTAACTGTAGATCCTGGGGCCTTGGAGAGCATCCCTGCTGCTCTTCTTTGATGGGGGTTAAATTTGTGTACTGTCTTAAGTTATATCCCTTCACTTTAAATTTGACTTGACTTTACTCCCCTGCCACTGATTGATAATCCTGGCTTGTCCATGTGTGAGAGATCCCTTACTATAATCTCTGTCCTTTGATCATTAAAAGTTGAAAGGATATATGGGAAAGAGGCTGATAAAGTGATTTCTGTGACAGTGGGTCGATGGAATAGCAGTGCTTTAAGTCATCCTGTTTGTCTTAGAAGAGCTGTGCTCTTAATAGTGATGTCCCTTGTGACTGATGCAATATCTCCGCAGTTGGTGTAACAATGAATGCCGACAATGCTCGACTGTAAACGGGCCTGGGAAAAATAGCTCAATCAATTAAATGGCCCAAAATGTTTTGTCTGATGAAAATGCAGATATGGCGAGCTGCAATGCACGGCCAGGATTTCAACAAATTGCACTTTGCAGAAGTTTTGGCTCTCTGATGAGCGTTTATTTTTGTGGCCTGTCGCCTCCGAGTTTGCATTCTCTCAGTGACATCTGGCAAAGTATAAACGTCTGTGGCTCCAACTTCTTATGAAAAGCCACTTCAGTCAGTGCCCATACTGAAGAAGGGATCCAATTGGGTTCCACACAGAAGTCTAAGATGAGTGGATGAAAGCTGTGGGAGAAAAGTTTGTGCAGCAAAGCAGCGATTTTCCTCCTCTTTAAGAGTTTTGAAGGGCTGCGTGTGTGTTAGTGTGTGTGTGCGCGCGTGTGGCTCTACATCTTGCCTCCCCCCTTGTCAAGGAGCTCCCCTGAGCTTCCCTCTCTGTGCTTTGGCACTAGAAGTCACCTCCTTTGGTGTTCAGCAGGCAGGTACACAACAGGAGCAGCTCTCTCTCTCTGAGCTGTTGAACTTTTCGGGAGGGGAAGAAAGGGAAGGGGAAGATTAAAAACAGCCCTGTGATGTGGAGTGCCGAGCTGCCTCCTGAGAATTCCTGGCATAATAATTTAAATGATCAAATGATACAGAGGAGACTTGTTAGCTGAGAAACAGCCTCCTAGTTGGCCCCATGGGCCCGGTGCTGCCGCGCATGCATTGCAAAACAGCTCCTCTGTTGTGTTAAAGAATCCCGCTTTTTTTTTTTTGCTCCCTTTTCAGGAGCAGACTTTTTCTACACTTTGCCTAGGTGTATACTCGGGACTCAAGACTGTGTCACATATTCACGGCAGTCCTTTTGTCTTCGTTCTCATTCATCAGCATGTGAGCAGACTCATTAGATTAGATTTCCGTACATGTGAAGGGTCGGAACAGCACTCGTGTCATTCGGTCCAGCCTGTGAAATTTTCAAAGGAGCCTGAGTGTGGAAAGTCTAAGAGTCACTCTTTGGAAACAAGTCTCAGCGGAATAGTCTGCCTCTGTTGAAACTGCGATGCAGAAAACTCTGTAAAGTGCTTTACAGGCAGTGCACACAGTAAAACAGCTATTTTGCTTTTTTTGAAAAGTAGGAGTGTCTGGATATCATGTGGATCTTAGTAGTTTTTTTTCCTCAGAGATCTGTTTGTGTCTGTTTTCACAGATCCAGCTCCTGTGCTGGAGGCCTCACACACCCTGGAGGAAAGGCTGCAGCAGCTTCAGAGCTTGGCCCCAGACAGCGAGGCCCTGGTACGAGAGATCAGCGGGCACTGGAAGAAACACTTGGAGTGCCTTGAAAAGACAGGTCAGGTCAAAATCGTATACACATTCAAGAGCAATGCTACTTACATGCTAATGTTTTACTAATGCAGACCTGAAGTTGCTGCGACTACTATATGTCTGGCAGTGCTTAGTTAATATGAATACCTGTGTGGAAAAAAAAGTCACCTTATAATGACTATTTGAAATAAATGGATTATTTCCTGGTTATCATCTGAACACCCTAGTGCAGAGGTCATTAATAGCTATCCAGACCCGTACCCATAACTGATAAATCATTGATTAATGAATTTCTGTTTTAACTGCTGCAGCATTTCCATCCTTTATGGCACTGGTTTAAGGGCCCAGGATACCACAGGCCAATTGCATCTCTTATAAATCATCTCACGTGATGCCACACACCTAATCCAAATCTGCACATTTTGATAAACATTGTGGACACAGCTGGTGGACAGATCTGACAGACTGATCTAGGGAAGGAAGAATAGATGATGACAAGTGAGTCAGAGAGAAAAAAAAAAAAACGTTTTCAAATTTGTATTTATTTATTTTTCTAAACTGAAGCACTTCATTTTAAGATGCACAAATTCAAAAAAGCTTCCTGTTATGCACATTTATTTTTCCCTCCAGCTCAATGTGAAGACTGACAATAAACATTGTTAAAATATTATCTCTCTATCTCTATTATCTTTCTTTGACTTGACAGTCAGTTGTTGATGACACACAGATGATACATCGACATTTTCAATATACATTGCACTGAATCATAACGCTGTTGAGACCTTATGATATTCCAGACCTTTGCTGGAGGAACTTTCTCCGCCTCTGAACTTTAATTGAACAGCTCTGCTCTAGTTGTTAAACTCACACAAGCCCCTTCCTGCCACGCAGAACACACAGAGGATGATCCTGTAGTGTCAGGGGCAGCAGTGGCAGGAGAGGCCCCAGAATCCAGCTCTCCAGCCTCCCTGATGACCCCCAACAGTACACCAGTTCCCAGGGCCCCAGGATCCCCACAGCCGAACTACCAGGACCAAGCTGAGGACCGAGGGTGAGAACTAGTGAAATTTAGGTTTATATATTCTTTAAAGAGATAATCCTCCTTAAACACCTGTGCTACACAGTTTCTTATTTCTATTAGACATGCAAGATTATCAAGGATCCAACCTAAATATCTTAAATCATTTTCCAATACATAGTTGTTGTTATACTTATGCTAATTTAAGCGACAATATTGACATTTTTTCACATTATTATAAAACTGATCTCAGTTACACATAGCATCTCTCTTCTGTCTGTCCTGGGAGAGGGATCCCTCACATGTAGCTCTCTCTGAGGTTTCTACGTTTTTCCTGTTGTTAAAAGGGTTTTTTGATCGTTTTCCTCACTCTTGTTGAGGGTTAAGAACAGAGGATGTCACACCTTGTTAAGCCCTATGAGACAAATTGTGGTTCATGAATATGGTCCATACAAATAAAATTTGATTTTGATTTAAGGCCCCAACACATAATACACATTTTTCTTATTTTATTGTGTAAACTTTGCCACACATGTTATTTCTAGGTGGGAGGATGTTTGGAGTGATGGATGTTTTAATATCTGTTATAGGACATGAAGTCATATTGTAGTATTAAATGTGTGGCCATGATGTAGTGCAGGGAACTGACTGAGTTTCTTTCACAGGGAGGGGGAGAGCGCTGACGTTCGTTCAGCTGACAGACTGTCAGAGGCCGATGAGAAGATCAAGGTTCTGCATTCATGTGAGTGGTTTAAACACTGGCACATACCGTCACTGTTTAATATCAACCTATTAAAGAGCCAGCATGTGTATAATTGCAGTCCGGTGCCCCCTGCTGAAACACTGCTGCTTTGTTTACATAAATATAAGAGACAACACTAATTGGTTGAATCAGTAATGTATCTTAAAGGTCAGAGTTCGTGCGTGTGTTATTTTTAAAGTTAATATTCCCCATGTTTGTGTCTCAGCAGCTTTGAACACTGCACAGACAGAGCTGCTGGACCTGCGGTGTAAATACAATGAGGAGATGACAAAGAAGTAAGGCACTATTTGAGATTTTTTAATTTTGCATTTATTTTACCACACATTCCTGTTAAACTTCTATATTTTTATACCCCTTTCAGAGTACTGCATATTCCGTGGTGGTGCAACTACCCAAACATTTTACTAAAGTAAAAGTACAAATAAATATGTACCACATTATACCAAATATATAAGTACCAGATCAACTTTTCTACTTGAGTAAATGTAAGGTAGTACTTGCTTTTAAATATACTTACTAAATGTACTTGCCGATTGTAGCCTTATTCCCTAATGCAACAGTCTACCACATCAATTTGTCTGAGTCTCCACGGTGATGTGTCTGCTGCTGCAGGTGTGCTTTGTTCCCTCTTCACTCTGACTTACTCACTTTTAAATATATAAAAAACAACGTGAACATGAAACACAATGCATTGTGGAGTAGATAGTACGGATGTGTAGTGGAGTAAAAGTGAAAAGTACCTAAAAATAAATCTACTTAAGTACATGTGACATTGTATATATGATATATGAAACATTTACTATCAGTAAAAGTAAATGTAACCACTCCTTTTATTATACCTCTTTTAAAGTACTTGTGTATACCCCTTCTATATTTTCAAACTTGTAAATGCCCTCGTTTCGTGTTGTTAAGCACTTGAAATGCACATCTTAGCTCTTCAGGTGCTGAAGCCGCTTTATTTTTCCCACATAAACTCATGTCCAGTGTAGAGCTGAGGAATGCCATTGTAAAGGCAGCGAGTGAGAGTGACTCAGCCACTAATGCAGGTCGATGAGAGAGGTCTGTGTTTGCCTTCACCGGCAGCTAGGCCTTGACAGCCCTCAAGAAGAATTGCTCCATTTAAAGATTGCTTCAGAAAACACTCTACCTTGTCCTGGTCTTTGAGCGCAATGTATCCACCGCACGCCTGAAATGAATCTGAGCTTGTATGAAGGATGTCGATAGACATTCAAAGCAAACACTCCTTTGTTTGGGTTGTGCTCCAGAGCACAGTCAGCCGCCGCTAATGGATTTTCCTCCCAGGCTTAATCCATGGCACAATTGAACTGATGTTTCTAGACCCACTGCCATCCATTTTGTTGGGTTGGACACATTTTTAGTTCGGTCCCACCTCTTGCGTGCGGCAGCAGCTTTGAAAAGACCATCCCCACTTTGTGTGTGTGCCATGCTGATCACATTCTTCTGGACTGACAGTAGCACCTCTGACCCCAGAGCTCCAGCTGTCCCCGACCCTGAGCCTCTGAACACTGGGCTCGCCTCTATTACTCTCACTGACTGTTTCCTCGGTGTTGATAAGAAAGACTATTTGTCTGCTTCGGCTTGAGCAGCTGAGCAGGTAATCAATACAAAACATTTTCCGTACTGCACAAGTTCATTAAACGTGGAGCTGACACCTGTTAGCGTTTGCTGTCAGCGGGGCGCCATATATCCTGGCCTTATTGATAGGACCGGGGCACGAGCAAGACCCTCTGAAACCAGGGCCGCGCCACACAACACTGATGAGATGAGTCTCACTGATTCCATGTTTCACTGTAGATGTATTGGAGGGCTGAGTTTCACTAGTGTTTTGAGTCGGATGTGAGACAGTGGGAGCGGTTAGATGTAAACATGAAAGAGCTCGAATGTTTGGATGAATGTCGCCAATTTAATGTGAATGGGGGAAAAAAAAAAGGGTAATCCATTCTTTGAACATTTTTTTTCTTTTGGTGAAAAGGACTACTGTGTCCTGAAACTTGAAAAAAACCCCATGTGCATATTTAAATCAATCACAACATCCTCGTTAATTCAACCTTATCTACCTTTTGAAAATCAGGTCCCATGTGTGCAAAATGAAACTGTTGAACTTCAAACAAACCTCATGAATAATCCCGCTGAGTTCCTGTTTAAATTAGTCTGATTGTGGAATGTATGGAGGCAAGTTGGAGTTCAACCTGCGAAGAATTCTGAGGAGACAAATCAGTCTCTCGACCAATGAGTGGACGGCTGTTTGAGCAGGTGTGTAGCTGCAAGTAAAGATGAAGAGATCATGTTATTGGTTCAGGAATCTGGGATAATGACCCGTGGAGCTTCCATGCACCTTTACACACACGTCACATGTTGAGTGTGTTAAAGCCTGATTTCCATATTTGTTACATACTAGAATCTTTCTCATATCTCAATTGGGGAATAAAAATAATTATACAATTATAATTTTTTATGTGTAAAATAATACAAAATATTTAAAAAATAAAAATAAAAAAGGGAATTACTGCAATTTTGCTTACACTGCAGGAATGTTGACTCTCGACCTCTTCTTTTCTTTCCTCTAATTCTGTGTTAATTTTCAGTTTTTGTTCAGACCTAGAGAGGTGTGTTAGTGGTGTTAGTTTTTTATGTGTTACACTGAGAGATTTTTTATAATAGTCATCCTCCCATATCTGATATAAATGTGGTATAAAAAGCTCACAGTGTGATGTGTATGTGTGAGATTATGGATTGTCTGGCTGAGAGCAGTCTACAAGGACATGTCTGACACATAAGGCTGGAACAATTCTGAATTCAAGACCCAAACCCTGATTCAAACCTCCACAATCTCTCCATACAGCGATACCTCAACCCCTGCTGCAGGTGCAGGCTGTTGAGCTCTCATTACTTTACTAATGTAACATAACACGTGTTTCTTTTTGAAAATAACGTGGTAATGATAATGATAAACACTCTGCACAGCAAATCTTTTTTTTAGCAATTTATAAATGTATGTTATTGTGTGTGCACAGATCACAGGTGGCTATGTCAGTGTTCTTGCATGTTTTGGTGGCTGCTGTAGAACTACAATCAGAGTTGTGTTATCTATCACTGATCTATATACAACACAGGCGTTATTGTTATCACATTAATTGTGACATATTTGCTTTTTCCTTAAATCTGTCGTCATAGGTGTTTACTCTCACTGCTGCTAGTTTGGTTCAAATACTAAATTATAATTATAATTATTTTGTTATTAATTATAATTATTGTTTTATTTATTTAAGAACTTATTTTTGTATAATTAACAAGATGTTTAGTAATAATTGGGCTTGTGTTTTTTTCCAGGTGTGTTTGCTTCTCATTGGAGAGTGAGAATATCTCCTCAGTAATCCTGTCTCTCTGTCTTGATGTCTGTGTTCCAGGGCAGGGGAGGTTGATGCCATCGTGGCGAATCTTGAGAAAGCAAACCAGGTGAGTACCGTCATCTTCTGCTCCTCTCTGATTGAGATGCTCCTTCGTTGAGGTAATCACTCCTGTAATCAAGCCCTGGCTTTAATTAGACACTCTCCGTCCTGTCCCCCCCTCCTTCCTGTACCCCCCTCTTTCCTCCCCCTTACACCTCCCCTCCCCTGAGTGTGTGTGATTAGCGAGTATAAACTTGATCCCCCGTCGGTGGGCACGCTATGGCAGCACGGCTCCACTCAGCAGAGAACAGGAGACTACCGTGCGCGATTGATGCCGGAGCGCTGAACGCCAGGGTTCTTAGTTATCTCATTGCCTTGATTGCTTCCTATCCTGGTGATACCTCTTCTCTTCTGCTCCTTTCTTCCCCGTCTGCTTCTCTCTCTCTCACACACACTGTCTCTTTCTCACTCTGCTGCTCTCTGCCAGCAGCTCCTAGATAAATGTTCTCAAAACGAATCATTAATTAGCAGACTGGGTGTGACAGAGCAGGTAAACAGTTTGGGGAATAAAGTGGGCCGACTAAGCAGCACCCTCAGCAAAATAAACCAGTGGCTGCACTTGTCTGCTCTGGCCCCTGCTCTGTTTTTGCTCAGCTCTAAAAATCTCAGAGCAAGGGCGCCCACTTTGATTTATGTACAGGATATGCTCTCACCTTGATCATCTCATTAGCCAATTGATGTGGCTGCTGTATGAGAACTGTAACACTGTGATTCTATGTCTGTGCACAGAGAGCAGAAATGGCTCAGAGGGAAGTGGAGAGGCTAAAGGAGCAGTTAGCCAGTGCCACTAAAGGGAACTGCCATCCAGCAGAGGGCACTAGCAGGGTAAGGATAATTTGACACAATGTGGGAAACATTTACTTTTAAGCAAGTGTGATAATAAAGTTTTTTTTTTCATATAAAGTTACCTTCCACTCTTCCATTATTACTACTTTGTACTTGAGGCGAATACTGTACATTTTACTATACTTTACACATACATCAATGTCACAATATAACACAGTGAAATAGTTCCCAGGTCCAACATAAACATTCTGCTTACTTTTTGCATCATATTATAATGTTTATATAAAACTAGAACAGGGCTCGGACAGTGCATACTTCCTCAAAGTCTAATGCACTATCTCGCCATGTTAAATAAAGAAAATATATCTTGGATCTGCTCCAGAATGTAATGGGTTCTCTTTGAGCCATGCACCAATATCTCCACAAAATGTAATGGAAATCAGTTCAGTAGTTTTTGATTATTCCTGCTGAAAAACAGACAAACAACAAACATAATTAATTGTAATTATTATTATTTTTAACACAATCCTACCTTCATTTAAGTAAAGGATCCCCTAATTGTTTTTATTTTTTCATTTATTTTATATTTCTTTATCGTTATAATTATTATTGTTTGCCATGTTTTGTGAAGCACTTTGTAACCTTGTTTAGATAAGTGCTATATAATTAAAGTTATTATTATTTTAAGATGTGTTTTTGGCAACTTCTAGCATGCTAAGTCAACACTGTGTTTGCTGACACTGTGATGTTTCTTCGAAACTTAGAATTAAACATAATAAGATCAATTCTATGATGTTCTATTTTCCATTTTGACAGGACTTGGACTTATCCAGTCTTTGTGTTTCTGTTTTCATCAAAGCAAAAACAAGCTTAATCACACAAGGCCTTAAAATATTTTCATGGCATTTTCACACTGTGACTAGCACATCTAAATCAGGACAGACAGACAATTTTTCTGCACAAACCTGTGCTTAGAGCTGTCAAATGGTTTTAAATTGGTTTCGAAATATTGTCTGATACCTCATTATCACAATCAATCACATGAAAAATCTAGTGTTAATTGTTACCTCATCATCATCTCTGCTAAAGTTGAATCATCCCACTTTCCACCTGTCTGTATAACATGAGCACTGCAGAGGTTGTGATTCACTGCCTGTCCTCATTTTCTCTCCTCCTCACTCCCTTCATCATATTTCTTTCTTCTCCCCCTCACACCTCCCATCACATCTCCTCTCTCGCCCTGTCAGGAGAAGAATGAGAAGGGCGAAGTATTGCCCTCGCAGCTGGAGGCCACCCTGCTGGCTAAAGACCGCGAAATCCTCTGTCTCCTTGAAAACATTCAGCGGCTGCAGTTCACGCTGCAGGAAGTTCAGGAGACATCAGCCAATCAGATCCTGGAGCTGGAACGCCAGCTGGCCTATAAGACAGAAGCTATTGAGGTGAGCGGCTCCGACACATGAGAAGCAGCAGAACATGACGGATGCTCCCTCAGTCTTCAGTGGTTCTGATAAATTGTATTAATATAAATGAATGAAGAATTTCTTCTTTTTTCCTTTTCAGAGATTAGAAGCTAAACTGCAATCCCAGCTGGACTATGAAGAGATTAAAACTGAACTCAGGTGATCATTTGGTGTAGACAGAACGTATTCGTAATAATGTAAATTTAAATTAAAAAAACCTGAACTCTGCATGTTGTGTCTGTCCATAGTATCCTTAAGGTAATGAAGCTGGCTTCAGCAAACGGCGGCTCATCTCAGGTACACATCCTCCTGCACCCAGCAGTTTTAAACAGAAAACAGAATATCTGGATCTCTAAAGCTTCTGTAATACATTCATTAAAAATTAACATCTTTTGTTTGTGTGTTTGTTAATATGTTTGTGTGTATAGGAGTCCGCCAAGGCTGCAGAGGCTCTTCTGCTGGATAAAGAGGCCTTTCTTCCATCTCACAAGTATCTGGTGGAGAAGGCTCGAATTCTGCACAGCAATGGTAAAATGAATGTCGCTCGTGTTTAATATTCTTTTCTATAACTACTAGTTTAAGTACTGTATCCCTCTTGGGGTTTCAAGAGGAAAAGAGTTTTGACAAACTCCCCATAGTTCACTGAGTGCTTGACGCTGGCTCAGTTGATTTCTTGAGTGAATGTTTTTCAGACTTAAACGTCCTCACATGAACTGAGCAGGCTAGACAATGACAACGTGCTTTCTGTCACCAGATGATGACCAGTCCGACGATGCAGGAAGGGAGACGGGTAGACCGCCTGGCTCCCACTCGTCCTCCTCTCAGGTGGACGGCCGTGGCTCCCCTAGCCCCGGCCCCCCCACCCTGGACGGCTCCTCCTCCAGCCACGATCTCCCCCGTCCCTTCTCTGTGTCACCATGCTCCGGGGACAGACAGTCAGGAGACCACATCCTCCACAAGCAGCTCCTTTCCCCACATTTTAAAAAGGAGGGCCTCATGGCTTTTCCCACGGCCCTCTATGCAGCAAAAGTCGCCCTCATGTCAGCGTCTCAAGGGTCTGCAGCGGCAGGTAGTGTTGACGCCGGCCTGCCCAGCGACCATTCAGAAAGCGGCAGCTCGACGGCGGGAGATGAGGACCAACTGGACACGGCAGAGATTGCCTTCCAGGTGAAGGAGCAGCTGCTCAAGCATAACATTGGCCAGCGTGTTTTTGGCCACTATGTGCTGGGCCTCTCCCAGGGCTCGGTCAGTGAGATCCTCGCAAGACCCAAACCCTGGAGGAAGCTAACTGTGAAAGGCAAAGAACCTTTCATTAAGATGAAGCAGTTCCTCTCTGATGAACAGAACATCCTGGCACTTAGGACCATCCAGGTCCGACAGAGAGGTGAGTGGAGATCACAGTGACGGGGGGGGGGGGGATATTGTTTAGTTTTTTTTTATCACATGAGTCGGTTTCTCTACACAAAACACAAATGAAACACATACGCCAATGCATTGTGGCCTCTTTGGCTCTCCACACAAACTGTTTAACTATGAGCACCCAAAGCCTAGCCCCTTGGCCGTGATTGGCCAAACTAAAAAGAGTAACCATAGGGCTTCCATCCTAAATGTTGTCCCTCGCTCGCTGCGGCATATTCACATTCACAATCTGTTTATAGAGATTATGAGGGAACTAACTAGGAATGTGTTTCTGTAGTTATGGCCACCTGCAACACTTATCCACAGCTTTACAGCAAAATACCAATAAGAGAAGTAGCATGAGATATAAAAGTTACTCAGATTTTAAACAAGTCACCTTCCTCACCATATTTTCTAATCCTCTGGCCTGGAATTGATAGTGGGTGTGAATTAACTGTCTGAAACCTCATCCATATTGATCCACTGCATTCATCTCCAATGACAGTTAAAGAATAAGGCTGGCGATGTTTAATATTTTCATGAAAAGATCAAAACCAACCAATGAGCTTAACAGCCTTTGTGGTCAAAGCCTGATCTATCACTCAATTAATACAGTCTGAACCACAGATAGCAGAGAACTGGCTCGAATCATCACAGAGATCCATTAGATAAAAACATAGATTTTTCTGCGAAAACTGAGAAAATATTTAAACATTGCATTTCATGGATCAAAAGTGATTATATATTTCTTGGTGTAATAAGCATGACAGTGAGTGTATCACTTTCCCTTTATATCATTAATTTAGCTTTCCCTTTAATGTATCTATAAGCAGACCTCCATAATGTATAATGGTTTTGATTACTTGTCATAGTGTGAGGCCACAGTTTTGTTGTTTTTCTTTTTTGTTATCAACATAAAAACTATTCTCTGAATCGTTAATTCAAAATTTATTTTGTTGCAGTATGAATTCCCCACTGTTTTAGGAAATGTACTCTTTTTTTTTTTTTTTTTTTTTGGATTTTGTTAAGCGTTGCCAAGTCCTTGCATTGCCTCCCATTTTTCTTTGAGGCTATGCTTGATGTGGGAGNTCTTTTTTGTTATCAACATAAAAACTATTCTCTGAATCGTTAATTCAAAATTTATTTTGTTGCAGTATGAATTCCCCACTGTTTTAGGAAATGTAGTCATCGAAAAACAAAAATATTAAAATACTATAATAGATCCCTCACCCTTGTGTTTGTCAAATAAAGGTTTAGATAACCTGGTTAATCAGGTGTCAATGTATTTGCCCAAGCTACTGAAAAAGGAACTAGGTTGTTCTAAAAAAGGTCTTTTGAAGATGCTCTTGGACCTGTGTACGTTTAAACCTTCTAATCTACTTGGACCTCATCCTTGACTTCTTCGCAGCTTCCTCTGCCATGTTACTTTTAAACTTTGTTTTCTCCCTAGATTCACAGCTTTTGAAAGTTGAGCTTCCCGTATACTGCAACCTCAGACAGCACGCGCTCAAAGGCAGCCATTGATCTACCAGTCAAAAGCAAAGCCTTGGAACTGCTCTCTGATCAACCATCCCACTCACCCCCCTCCTCTCTCCTCTCGCTCTATCTCTATCTCTTTCTGTTACCCTCTGTGGCAGGGAGCATCACTCCGCGCATCCGAACTCCTGAAACTGGGTCAGACGACGCCATTAGGAATATCCTGGAGCAGGCCAAGAAGGAGATCCAGTCCCAGAGGGGAGGTGAGGATGGAGCTGCAAGTCATAAGTCAAAGCTTAAAGCCATATTGATTGATTTCTTTTTTTTAAATTGAGAGTGATGTTGACTATTTTATTTAAACATTTGATCTATTACTCTACTCACTTTATAATGCATATAAAGTGGAAAGATATTTTAGTGTGCATCAGTGTCAACATGTGGCTCTCTCTTGTTCAGGTGATGGCAAGTCATCTCTGAACAGCTCATCAGGCAGAAGCAGTAATGGAGCTGGCAGCGGCTCTGATGAAACCATAAAGAGCATCTTAGAACAGGCCAGGAGGGAGATGGAGGCCCAGCAGCATGTGCTGATGGAGATGGAGGCCTGTGGGAGGGCCTCGACTGCCAGTTCAGGAGCACAGGTGGAACGTCTAGGGCCCCCAGAGCGCTCCAGGGGCCTGCCGTTACCCATCTCCATCAAACAGGAGGAAGGGGGCTGTGTTACCGTGTGCATGGCTAACCCCATCAGCAGCCCGCAGACCCCTCTCAGTGTGCTCTCCCCCGCCGCCTTCGTCCAGAACATCATCCGCAAAGTCAAGTCAGAGATCGGTGAAGTAGGCACCTACTTCGATCAGCACTGGTCACAAGAGCGGGGGCCGATGGGGCTAGTCGGAGGAGGTAGCTCTCGGCCCTTCAATTCTGTCTCTCCTTCCTTGTCTTCCTCCTCCTCTGGGCCCTCTGCGTTGCCTCGGCCGTGGCCACGTCTGGAGAACGGCGAGTGTCTCCCCAACAGCGAGGAGGCCTCTGCTGCTGAGGACGACCTAGGGCTCAGTCGGCCGGTGGAGGTTAAGGTGGAGTCGGACACATCAGTGAGCGGCGAGTCCCCAGGACCTGGCCCTGGGCGCCTATCCTACTACCCAGCATACATCCCCCGAGCCCTCAAGCCGACCGTGCCGCCGCTGACTCCAGAGCAGTATGAGATGTACATGTATCGAGAGGTGGACACCATTGAGCTGACTAGGCAGGTGAAGGAGAAGCTGGCGAAGAACGGCATCTGTCAGAGGATCTTTGGTGAAAAGGTCAGATGTCGCTCCGTCATATTAAATCTTGCAGTATTTCCTTACAGTGAGAAATAAGAGTGAAGAGGACACTGATGCACTTTATGTTAATAATTGTGATATGCAGTTAGGAATAAACTGAATACGGATACTTTTTCATGGGTGTTTGAATATACAATTCAGTTCTCTTCTCAAAGAGAAGCCACAGATGCAAAGCATTTTCCATCTTCTTTTTCAAGCATTATCCTATATGTGGTTTCAGATCTTCAGACAACATGAAATACTATACTAAGGTAATCTAAGTAAGATTTTTTGCAGATTTACAGATTTATATCAATAAATAAAGTCAACAAACACTGTAATCCTCTATATGAAAAATGTATTGGCTCTTCTGAACCTAATAACAGCAGCCCAGAGCTTCTTATAATTTGATAATAATTGATAATAATTGTCACATCACTGTAAAATAATTTTATGTTGCTTATTATTGAAAGATACATTTGTAGGTTTTCAGGCACAAGCTGCCTCAGTCCTGCTGCTGCAACTCTGTTGAGTTCAATGCATTTTAAATCTTTCTTTTGTGGTTTGGATCATTGTCTTGTAGCAGAACACGTCTCATGGGAAAATGACTGGATCCATCTCTTTTAGAATTGTTTGTCACAAAGCAGAGGTCATGTTTCCTATTATTAGTTGTATAATAAATCCCTATGACCAAAGACTGTTGAACTGTTGGTATGATGATCACATCACAGTTTATTCAGGTACAGATCTACACAAGTATCCCAGCCCTATAGAAAATGCTTTGAGACCCCAATATTGTATTTGCTCTAAACAGAACATTATTCTCAAACTTCCGGGTGTTTTTCTGTGAATACGAATGAGCAGCTATTCTTGAAAAGCCTTTTTTCCCGCATCCTGCACATTCATATTGTGGTGAGCCATCAGCTGAGAGGTCTGCAACTCTTTGGATGTGTTGTAATCTTTAACAACTTCTTGGATGAGTTGTCCCTGCCAACTTGGACAGAGGGTGACAACAGGTTTTAGCACAGTGCTCTCCATGTAGATATCTCCCGCTGTTGTTTGGTGGTTTTGTAAACCTGATTGTGATGGTAAGGTTGATTTTAGGTATTCAACTGTCTTTTTCAAAAATGAAAAGAATAGAAAATGTGTCCCTTGTTGATGGATGACCTCACATATCTTTTCAGTAAATAATATCAGAATCAATCATCAATACAGAATGTGGCAGCTGAAAATGATCTGTGGATTTATTTATTTATTTTTTCCTCCTCCAGTTTAACTTAGATGCTGCCTTCGACAACTTCCCATATATATATTTGGTGTATTGCTTCCCTCTAGTGGTTGTTATCTGAAAGTGTATCAATGGAGCCATAAACTAAAATTAAATAAATGTTCTTCTTTAAGGAAAATAAATCAGAGAATCAATCAACAACATGTCATCTATATGTTTATTATGTATCAAAGTATAATAACTGTTAACCTGTGGTTGTATACCACAGGTGCTGGGGCTCTCTCAGGGCAGCGTGAGCGACATGCTGTCTCGGCCCAAACCATGGAGCAAGCTGACTCAAAAAGGCAGGGAGCCCTTCATCCGCATGCAGCTGTGGTTGCTGGACCAGCTAGGCCAGAGCCTCAACCAGCCCCCAAACCAAGGCCACGCTCAGGGTAAGGCTGCAGTTTGTAACATATACACTCATCTCTCCATGAACCAACTTGCAAGAATCCCACATCAGATATATCAAGAGATATCAAACTTAAAAATAGAAAAAGGAAAGTTGTTCCAGTTGTTGAATATACTGCAATGACTGTATCTAAGCAGTAGGGGTTGTGGATTTTTTTGTGATGTTTCTTACCCAGATAAAAGCCCAGTTACGGCACAGTCCTCACCCTCCCCGCCCCCCAGCCCAGCGGAGAGCCACCCAAGTCCCCTAGTGGAGCCTGTCAGCCTTTCCCTGGAGAGCAGCAAAGAGAACCAGCAGCCTGAGGGCTTAGGGCTTGCGCTGCCCCCCCATCCAGAGGGAGGGAAATCTACCCCCAGCCTCATGGCCTTGCATCAGCCCTCAAACCCACTGGGCATCCAGGAGCTGGTGGCCATGTCTTCCGAGCTGGACACCTATGCCATCACAAAGAAGGTCAAGGAGGTTCTAACAGACAACAACCTAGGTGTGTGTGAGTTTACACTGCGGAATAAGCTGAGGCTCCTTTATGAATGCAATCACAAGTCCTACATTCACTGTTTATTTTTCTTTCCTCACAGGTCAGCGTCTTTTCGGGGAAACTATCCTGGGTCTGACGCAAGGCTCAGTGTCAGATCTGCTCTCCAGACCCAAACCTTGGCACAAACTCAGCCTGAAAGGCAGGGAGCCGTTTGTCCGCATGCAGCTGTGGCTCAATGATCCTCACAATGTAGACAAGCTGAGGGCCATGAAGAAGATGGAGAAGAAAGGTGTGTATAATAAACAAAACTAATGACAATGACACAATTATGATATCTTACAGTTCAGGTTTGAGAAATTCTTGGTGCTTTGTCCTTTATGCCAGAAATCACTGTCTTCCCTCCAGCCTATCTGAAAAGGCGGTACGGGCTTCTGAGCACCGGCTCAGACAGCGACTCACCCAGTACTCGCTCTGAGTGTGTGAGTCCGGCCTTGGTCTCGCTGGACCTGTGCCCCTACAGCCAGGTGAAGAAGCCCCGGGTGGTGCTGGGAGCTGAGGAGAAGGAAGCCCTGAGAAAGGCCTACCTGCTGGAGCCCTACCCCTCTCAGAACACCATCGAGATACTGGCAGCCCAGCTCAACCTCAAAACCAACACTGTCATCAACTGGTTCCACAACTACAGGCCAGTCCAATACACTTTGCTAATGGATACCTCTGCTCTTTTCATGACGACAATACATTAGTTTTAACTGAATGCCTGTAAGGTATAAAAGTAAATGTAAATATCCTGACATGTGATTGTTTGCCTGTCTAACAAGCAGTGTATGTTTGCAGGTCCAGGATGCGACGGGAGGTGCTGATGGAGGGTCTGCAAGACAATGACACAGATGCCGAGCATCACAGCTACTCCCCCTCAGTGACGCGGAGCCCCCACTCTGATGGAGAGGAGAGGAGGCTGCTGAAGCCCTCAGGACACATCCACTCAGGCCTTCCTCTGAGCGCCAGCGCCGCACTTCCTCATGTCAAACAGGAGGCACTGGACAGGGAAGACGAGGGGGAGGAGGGCTCCATGAAACAGTTGAGAGTTCAGTGTTTTTCTACAGCAGTACAATTCCCGCCGCTGAAAAACGAGCACGAGGACTCCATCACCGGCCACCAGAGCCTGAGGCACGAAGAGGGGATGAGCAGCCAAGCTCAAGGGCTCTACCCTGGCGCAGCCTCCATAGATGGACCCCAGAGAGCCAGTCAGTCCCGGCACGATGGGGAGGACCCTGGAAAGTCGCCTGTTGACCCAGTCAGCTTCAAGGCTTCGTCGGAACCCTGCCGCAGCAGCTTGGAAGTCTCCCTGAACTCCCCCTCCGCTGCATCCTCACCCGGCCTCATGATGTCAGTCTCCCCCGTCCCTTCCTCCTCTGCTCCAATATCGCCCTCGCTGCCCAACCCGCCCTCAACTAGCACCAATCACAGCCTGGAACCTAACCAGATCCCTCCATTCCAATGCCCCAAACTCAACAGAAGCACTCAGAGACGCAATGAGAAAATGGCCAACCTCAATAACATCATCCATAGGCTAGAGAGAGCAGCCAATCGAGAAGAAACACTGGAATGGGAGTTTTAAGGTCCCCCTTTTACTTGTACCTAGTCCTGATGACCCTCGCGGCACAAAGGGGCGTCTCAGATAGAATCTTCCTGAAGACTTTTAACGGAGCCTGGCTCCTGAAGGCCTGTCCTCTCAGACTGAAAACTCAAAGGAAACGGGAACGCAGAGCTACACATATAGCTAACTTCCCTGCAAGAACTAAAAAAAAAAGATTTATAAATGTGTATTTGTTTTTGTTTTTGATAATGCATACTACTTTGAAATAGATGTGACAGCATAAGCTGTTGTTTTACCTTTTGGACTTGACAAGAAGACTTTTGCAGCTATGGTGTCATAAAATGTACACTGAAGTTCTGTAGATTGCCACTGGGTGAGATTAAAAAAAGACCCCTGTCTTAAGCCATTAAAAGCACTATAACTATTTGAAAAGAGACATTGACCAAATTTGCTACTTTTTGAATAGCAATTTTTCAGATTTTGTCTGTAAGACTGGACAGTTTAAGTCAAGTAACATGAAATCCTATTACTGACTGAGGGATAGTCCTTTAAGACTCTAAATATTCAACATCTTGTATGTACTTAGTTTCTCGGTGATATGTTTTGAAATATTTGTAACTCACACGTATAAAATGTGGTTGTACATGTTGTAGAATTGTCTGCAATAGCCTTCTCTAAACCTGATGTAGCATGGTACTCACCTGACCCTGTTATCCTCTGTAGTTAGTCACCTGTGATTATACTTGAGCGAAAACAAGAGAAAAAAAAGTTGAAAACCCTGCAAAAAATAAGAAAAAAGTAAACGTTAAATCTAATAAGTAGAATACTTTTAGTGTTTTCTTTTTTTTTTTTTGATAATCCTTGAGGTTTACAGTTTAGGGCCCTCGTGCGCCTGCTGGCACAGTTTACACGATTTCTTTCAGACTTACCTCTCTGACCCTCTAAAGGCACTGGTTCTCAGACTGTAACGGGCCAAGACACAGGACACCTGGTTTACCTCAGATTATGTTGATGCACATCATGCTGTGACCATGCGTTTCATTCTTATACATGAACATGACCACGCTAATTTGAATCAACGGAGGGAACATACTTGTATCATGCTTCAGACGAGTGGAGATGAAGTTCTAACGAGCAAAATCAGTCTTTTACAAAGAATATGCTGCTGTGTGAAGAGACGGGGAGCTAAAGAAGCCCCTCCTCACCAGGTGGAGTGCACTTTCTCAAAATGCATATTTTACTGTAGCTAGAATTACGTATACTTGATCAAACAACTCAACCTCTTTGTACTGAGATGCTGTTAAGCTGGGCAGTTTGATAAAAAAAAAAAGCTTCAGCTCTTTCCAGAGCTGGAAATGCACCTCCTTTGGGGCTGACCATATTTGAGAGCATGATGCACACAGTATGACCTCCCATCAATATGAAAACACTCAATCTGTAAGTAGACTATATTCAAGGACACAAAAGGTTACAGGTATCCCCTCATATTATCTTTAACCACTTGTGTATTGTGTCTGTAGAAGTTTCTTTGTCATGCTTGCAAAATGTTCTTTATGTATTTTGCCTCTATTTTATACTCAGAACAGTTAACTAGATATTCAATACCTCGTGTATGAACTACTTACAGCACTTAGAGTTTTGATAATTGTGAGGACTCAAGAAAACTTCAAATATCAACATTATCCTAACTTAGTGTCCACAAGTCTTTGCCTTTACTGTATCGTTGAAGTTGGTAGTAAACACTTGCACATGTCTACATAGTTCAGAGGACTTGGATTGTATTATGTAGAGATATATATTACACATTTACAAAAAAAAAAATAATATCTTACATTCTTGGAACAAAATGTGCTGATTATATTGAAATAGAGTGTACAGATTTAATAAACCAAACCCATTCAAGCCAGTTCTGGTCTGGCAAGCTTGCCCACGTTTTAGACCTTCTCTCAGGGTAGTCTTGCTTTTTAAAGCTTTACTGAAACAGTTGCTCTCCTCAGTGGTTCGGACTATGATAAAAACAATACGCGGTGTAGAGAATGACTTCATTATATATTAAATGGGCCTGTGGAAGCTGTAAGTATAGGGGAATTGCAACTTTTCACTGGAAGCAATGGTCAGAGGGCTGTTGCTGTTTTGTAATTCATTACACAGATCTGTCAAAGTACAGTGCAGGCTGGAACAACCGGGATGAGGTTGATGGGTTGCATTTTTGAGATCAGTAGACTTTGCTTTCTAAAATACTGTTCTTGTTTTCTCTTGGAGCCACAGAAGATTTTTCTCTGGTTTTCGTACCACCATTTTTTGTGCATAATATACTGTATGATTAGAAGTGGCATTTCTTTCATCGACATTTCATTGTCTCTCATGGTTACATGGACATGTGATTGAAAAGGAAATGTATTTACTCAGACCATTATGTCAACATGTAAAGCCCATCTCATTGTTTTGCATGCAAATCCATTCTGGTCACTTGACAAAGGGATAGACTGTGTTTTGTGTTGTTGTTCTTGCACAGGGACATTTAATCAGCACTTAGTCTCTTTTTTTTTACATTAGTGAAGTCCATGCATGATGCAACTGATATTTTTGGCTCTCACAAAGCCCTCATGAATCAGAAACCCAAAACGACTCAGTAAACATTAAAAGTCAAGTCAAGATTGTTTTGTGCCATATCATATGCCTCATGCACTATCGTCACAGGAGAAAGGCCTTGTGGTAGCGTGTGATCTAAGAGGGGTGTAGGGCTATTTCTCACCCGATTCAGAAAAAAGCAAAGCTTTTTTGTAACAGCGGCCCTACACATTAGATGGGTTTTATTTTATAATTGACATTTGTCACTAAATAATGAGGTAATTGGTCAGGAAAAATTTTGAACGATTGCATTCAGAGCTGTAGAGTAAACAATTTACAATCTGACTCTGAGTGTTTGTCACAAAGAAAACTTTTCCTTTTGAAAGTCAGCTGTGAGCCAATAAAGAGAAGTGTCCTGCAGGCTTAAATAACTGTCTAACGCCTCACATGTCAGGCTACTAAATGTTAAAGAGTGGACTAAAGTATGCCAAGCGTCTTGGAATTTGCATATGTAAGCCATCATTCAATACATAATTGTTTAAGATCCTGCTGTGTGGTGTTTTTCTTTCTTTATTATTGTGAGGGATTTCCATCAGAGGTGAAGTAAAGATTAATATTTAACAAATAATTCAAACACACTCATATAAACAAATGCACTGTGTTGTAAGAATCTAAAGCAAGCGTGTTATCTCCTGAACTGTGTGGGACAGCACGTCGTGTGCGCACCAGCCTCCATTAGCAGGGTGTAAATGATCATCCACATCCTTTATATCATCACATCGCTGAGTAACACGAGTTGATCTTTCAGCCTGAGGCGCAGTGTTTACATGATGGCACCGCGTGGTACGTCCCAGCCCCTCCCCTCCTGCCCGGCGTGTCGCTCTGACGCAACGACGTCACGCACCACGTAGGTTGTTGGGCTGGTGAATTCGCTGCGATGGCGACGACGGCTCTGCTGGAGAGGGACGCAGTGAAGCTGGCCTCGGCTCGGACATGACCGCGGTTTGTTTGCTCGAGGTTTTCTTGCTGCTCAGTAGCTGCACGGGCTGCGGGTGAATCTTCGGCTCCGCGCTGCACATCGTCGCGTTTCTCTGGTGAGTCCGCCGGGTCGTGCTCGCTCCTTGGTTGTGTTTTGACAGAGGCCTCCTTTTTGGGGTCCGCCCTCCATCTCATAACAACAAAAACACAGAGCCGCGCTAGCTCAGCCGGCTAATGTTAGCGAGCCAGCGGACTGGCTGCTGTGTGTTAGCAGCTACTGATGCAAAACACCGAGTACTGTGATATTACTACACAACACACTGCTAATGAGTACATCTACCACCCTTTACAATGCAAATATCCGCTGTTGACCAGGCGTTAGCTTGCTAGCATTACTTTTTCATACTATGTGTGATTAACTATAAACGTTAGCTAACTGCAGAAAATGTAGCTGAACGTTCCCCACAGGGAAGAATAGTCTTTCTAACGTGTAGCTAAATATTTACGTATAGCTACCTACGTGAGTATTAATCTTTATGACCTATCATCTTCTGTAGCTTACGTGTTAGCATCTGACAGTAGATGGTGCATCCATGGTTGGTACATTGTGTTGTAGAGCTCTTAGCTTGCTAGCATTCATTGTAAGATCACGGTTCACCAGTGTTTACTGTTGTTCCAGACGGCATTAGCTTGTTTTAGTCTCACACGTTTATCTTGAGACACTGGAAATTCACTGATGTTTTTTTGCGACGAGTGAATCCCAAAGTGAAGCAGTGGGGTGAACTCTCAGCTAGCTCAGTCTGTTCTTTACAGACATCCAGTTAGCCGACATGTATGTTCCCTACGTGATCCTTAATCCTCTCGTGCTGGTGTTGTGTTCAGTGTAGCCATTTGACCGTCAAGCTAAAAGTCTGCCACTGCAGTCCATCGTCTCAGTCATGATTTCTACTTTGAAACTTGTTATAGAGAAGCAAAGCGACCGAGGCTATTTGCTGGATAATGTTCCTGTCTGTGATGCGTGGTGGCCGGTCACGGGACAGAAGTAACGTTAAGGCTCTAAGGGGCTTAGCCTTTCCTGTGTGACTCTGAACCCAGAGCCAGGCTGAGCCGCATCCACGGGTCACGGGCCCGCTGCTGTAAACAGAGTCGTGTGCGTGTGCTGGGCAGATATGCTTTATCAGATCGAAAGAGCTGGACCTCAGTCAGTGAAACAGTGACGTCCCTTTGCTGCTTCACGCCCCTTAACACCTCCAGCCTGCTGCTGAAGGCCTCACCAGCCGCCAGGGCAGTGGAGCTTTTCCTCTTCTTTCTGCCCTGCGGCATCTTACATGTTCATGAGAAGATGGGTTGAGGTCCTGAACAGCTCATTGACTGACCTCCTCAGATCCGATTTCAGTCCCTGCAAAAGAAGCTGACCTTTACAACTATTTGTGGGCCTGCACGCTGAGAGATCTTGTAAGAGAGATGTTAGGCGATATCACTGTAAGGAACCATCTCTGCAGAGATAGTGTAACATTACCTGAACAAACAGTTAGTATCTGCTGGGAATGACATGTTGACATCTCAGCTTTACACTTTTGCAAGAAGTTAACAACAGCCGAGCGCTGTGAAATGTCTGACTCTGCCACGTGTGCCCCAGCAGCAATGTAGGCAGGTAACCAGCCATTGTTAACTAGGTTTGACCACAGTAACATCTTCCATACCCTCCAGTTGTGTGGTAGTCAGGGTTAACATTTAATGTGGTGTTCAGAGTGCACTTCTGAAAGTAAACATTAGACGATGAGCTCATGTGACTGAACCATACCTGTTCTCTGGTTAGACAGTTTAGTACATCAAGATCCAGCTTTTTTTCTCCACTCCACAACTGAGTTTAAGTGGTATCTCTGAGCTCACATGCATGCCACTGTGACCACCAGCACAGATATATTTGCCAGGGAATCAAAAGAGCTTCTGTAGCTTGAATGTCTCAGGGAAAAAGTCTGCTGTTTGGAAGGAAAAGCATTTGCTTATTATTCAGTTGCACGTTTGCCTTCATTTCCACAGATTTCCATGTCTGACTTGTGAGAGTTTCCAAACAAGATCACCAGGACTGCTCCTCGTCCATTACTGATTGTTTGTGGTAAGTGTTAGGGATGTATGATGTTGCCACTGGTGCTTTCACCCCATATTACTAAATTTAAAGGAACTAATTATTTCTTTACTGACGGTCACATGGCTGCTAAGCCTTCCATTGTAGTGCCATTTCATGTTGAATTGATTAGCTATTGAACATTTTGAACATGATTGCCCTACTAAAGTCGCCTGGTCGATTATGATCTACAATTAGTTTGTTGCTGACACCCATTCTCTGAGAAAGTATTTATAAATCCTGATGCTTGGCTACAACATCACAGCCTCTAACGGAATTGTTTTTCTCGTGAGCTACATGAAAGTCTTCACATAAAATCTAAATAAAAACAACTGAACTGCAATTCATTTGATTAATGTAGAATCAAGGGTGTGATAGTGGTTTATCATTTCAGGTAGTAATGTCATCCAGAGTAGATTCAGCGATGTGACTCAACAATTCTTCAGACTGAGCTGAGCATTTGGTACAAAAACATGAGACATACAAATATTTAAATGACAAACATTTACACCTTTTAAATATGTTCGGGTGTTTTGTGTTGTTACTTGACATTAAAGGTTCAATGTATACGATTAAGGTGAAAGGAATTTTTGGCAGAAATTTTATGTAAAATAATCCTAGTGATGTTTTCACTGGTGTGTTTCATCTAAATTGTATGAATTATTGTTTTCTTTACCATAGAATGAGCCCTTTATATTTAGAAACTTTATATTTACTGCTATATTTACATGGAGGGGGGGTCCTCTCTGTGGAGGCCTCCATGTTTTTTACTGTCGTCCAAACTGGACAATCTCATGACAACTGAAGGTTCTCTTTCATGTTGGGAAGGGGAAGGGGAGGGTGAGGCGAGGAGTATTCAGCTGCAACATGCAACTTTACCTCTAGATGTCACTAAATTGTACACATTGAGCCTTTAAACTGGAGAGAGATTACTGTTAATAAGGGGGGAGAGACATGCGACAAAGGTCCTAGGCCAAAGTTAAACTGGGGAAAATGTAGTTTCCTGGGTTGTACTTTAACCTTATAGCCACTGGTGTGCATTGATAAACTGGTGTTTACATTTTAGCATCATTACCATCTCCCTGAGCTATGATTCAAAAGTTCAAACTAAATGACATCAAGTTTCAAGTGAAATCATACTCCAATAATGTCTGTTAACACCTGTATCATTAATTAAAATAGTGACCCTCTGATTTGAACAACTGATTTCTGAGTACCAATTGAATTGAATCGTCATTACTAATGGTCCTCTTGCACAAAAAAATCTTTCTATCAATGTCCTTAACCTGAGATAATAGCTGATAATGAAACTTTGGCACAAAAATATAAACATTATAGAATTTTGATAGTAAATTCTGTTTCTACAAACGTTGCTCCATATTTACAATAATGATCCTGTTGCTACTCGCTGCACCTCTGGCTCGACGAGGGAAAATTTGAATTAATTTGAAATGTGTGGGTGACAAGTGGTATAAAGATACTGTTTATGATTTACATGCATTCTGTCAGAATTACTTATCAACTGTCTGTGTTGTTTTTGTACAGACTGGTCCAGGCCGGAGTTCCTTGTTTGTTGACCCACACTCCTTCACAGGGGCCATGGTAAAGTACCATCACTTCATGTATGCTTTGCCGAGTAACTGCTGTCTTTCTGTCTGGTGGACTGGGTGCAGTCAACTGTATCGGAAACTCTCCATTGATTTTCTCCAGCCGTGTTTACCGGAAAGCAGACAGTTACACCATCTGGGACAGTGTCAAAGGTCATCCTAGGCAGCTTTCGCTTTATTCACTGCAGAAATGTGTGTTGTGCTGGTGCAACATGACATAACCAGTGGATCAGATGAATTTCCTGTTGAACTGTGTGTGTACGTGTGAGTGTTTTCTTTTTGTTCTTGGCACGCTGCTGTGTGGAGGCTGCCCCCTGGCTGGCCTCAGCACACGGCTCCTTCAGCCACGGCGGCTGTGTGTATCAGCACAGCTCATGCTGAACCAGCATTCCACAGGATGTGCTGCCACTGTCCCTTTATCTGTCGCGTTCGACTACCTTCATCTTTCTTTTAACAGTGTTCAGAATAAATGTTGCTCCTTACCAAACACAGGCCGTAGAATCCTGTCGATCTGTCAGCACCAGGCCAGACATTTTTCCCCACCAGTTTTCCCTTGAGCGAAAATCCCTGAGTCTTGTTTGTATATCCATGTTTCACATTCCCCACACATAGGCATCCTCTGTGAAATGTGTTCATCCTGAATAAGTCTAGTGTGACCTCGAACATTCAGTCCAGAAGAAAGCCTACATACTGCCAGTTACAGCTTAAATGCAAATATACCAAATATGTGTATTTGTTGTGAAAATTAGGTGTAGATTCTCCTTTTAAGTTCTTGTGAAGATAAATCACCATATCTATTTCCACTTTGAAGCACTGCATGTTGTTGGCATCTGTAATCCTATTCCACAGTTTGTTGTACAAGGGGTGATTACAGTAAATAGGCCTGGGTTGCATATTTCAGTGTGAGTGGGAAGGAGAACATGGGCCACACAAACCATTATAAATGCAGCGCTACAGCATTGGTTTGAAATGATCTCTGTCTCTCATTTATAAATAGTTTGAGACCAATCAGATGGTGCTGTGGCAGTAGCTACAGTATATTCCCAAGAACTGCTGTTACTGTGTTCTTGCTCTTCAATGTCTGATCTGTGGTCAAAGCTGTGAATGCATGTGTCACTGTACACAAGTGTGTGACAGCAGCAGAATTCTGCCATATTATAACAAAAGAAAAGTATGCAAGTGAAAATTGTGATTGTTTAAGTGGATGCTCATTCTGTAAAAACTGAAAAGACCAATGTCTCTGCAGGAGGAGGAGGGGCAGCATAGCTTGGAGTGTATCCAGGCTAATCAGATTTTCCCCAAGAAGTCCCCCGTCCTGGAGGAGGAGAACATGCAGGTGAGGAGGTTGCAGCAGGTGCTGCTCATCCTGTGTTTTATAAAAAAAGTTAACACTTATTGTGTGAACATGAGTCTCTTCTCAGTAATCGGTTACATAACCACCCCGACCGATGTAACATAACCTCACTTTCTGTTTACCAGTGACAGAAGCAAACTTTCAAAAGCAAAGCAATCCCTATAAAGTAAATGTTTACATTGTGTCATAATGAGACAAGACTTTTATCTCCTTCTCTAAAAACCTGCAAGTCAACACTTGTTATTGGTCAACTGCTCATTGCAGGCATTTACTGTGTGTCTGTATTCTCATTTCTGTTTTCTACCACTAAGGGCTGGTATGTTTTCTGTGAGCTTGTTGCTGCTACTTAAAGTAGAAGTGGAAAAAAAAATTACATTTCATTAATGAATAAAGCTGTAGCTCACTGAAAGTGACTAATTTACAAACGAGGTATGATCAAAGAATACAAACTGGAACAGAAACAAAGTTCACTTGTTGGTTAATGGAAGAAGTTCTTGCTGTTAAAAAGGAGTGGGGAGTTTATTCATTGTACTCAGATCACCTGTATGAGCAAAGCATTTTACTTCACCTGATGTGAAAATGTGCAGCATGTTGACATTAGTATAGACATTAAAACCATATCTTGTGAAATAACTGATCATACCACAGCCAAGTGTGCTTCACAGCAGCCTTACTGCTGAGCTTTGTGGTTCTGAATTTAGTTTGAAATGTTTTATCACCTGCTGTTGTTAGGTGCCCTTTCCTGAGCTGCACGGGGAGTTCACGGAGTATGTCGGGAGAGCAGAGGATGCCATCATTGCGATGTCCAACTACCGCCTGCACATCAAGTTCAAAGAGTCTGTTGTCAACGTAAGTATCTCAGACCAATGAGCTTCAAGGTCAGATACAATTAGAGACCGTCTTTCACACAGTTCAAAAATAACTGGAGAATGAGGCACAGTGTTTCTATTGGAGGCTTTGTGAGTGTGTTAATGTTTTGTGAATGGGCAGAGCCGGGGCCATTGTGCCAGCACTGTGGTGACCAGGCCATTCAGAGCTGATCTGAGCTGGCATCAGTGCCGCGTGACTCTTCATCACCTCCGCTTCTACGCTCCGCTCGCCTGCCCGCACTGCTTTCTCTCTGTACTTGCCGTTGCCATGGTTTTAGTCGTTCCAGAGGGGATGCATAACAGTAGCCCTCTCTCCCTTTTCACCATGTTTAGAGAGAGTCTAGCTTTGTGACAGTGTGTGCTCTCTTTCTAAAAAAACGTCCTCATTTGTTGTTCAGATATTCTTTGTAAGTAGAGCTTTTTATACTTTTGCTGCCAGACTGGCTACTTTAAATGCACAAAATTCTTATTGCAACCTAGAGTCACACCAAATACATACATTTGTGCTTTATGTTCTATATCTTATGGACATGGTTGTTATACTAAAGGAAAAAAAGGCTTTTTCCCACAGAGACTATTCTCTGTTGTTTCATGCAGTGATAATCTACTTTCATGGGATCATTCAAATTATTATTACTCACAAATGAAATATTTAAAATGAAAGTAATATGGTGTGTCAGAATTGTCAAACAATAGCAGGAAGGTTGAGCAATGACGAATCATGTGCAACAGGAAAGCACTTGTAATTTCACTTCCTTTTCTTATAAACTATCATCTGTGTAAGTGCAATGACAATCAGTATATTATTGTAAAGGATACATTCTTATTGTCAATAAATCCCAGAAAATATCAAGAACCAATGATGCATTCATCCTATAGTAAAAATTCACATCAGTGAGATGCACTATTGCACAGGATGATATTCATTCATTTGCATGATAATAGACTTGCTGCAGAAAATACTCACCATGGCACACAGCTAAAAATATTCCTACTCCAACTTCACCATCTACTCTTGTTTGAGGAACTGTAAAAACCAAAGAGTGAAACTACAGTCCCTCAAAATGTTTTAGAAAATAGATTTGACCTTCCAATAAATGAAATTGTCTAAGAGAAGCTTGATTTTATCAGTAGAAACCAACCGACTTGGGGTTGAAGACCACAGAAAGGATAGATCATTCAGAGGCAGACAGATGAACATAAAGTTAGAAATGGCATCATACCACCGACTTTATCTGTTAAATGTTAGTAAAGGATACATGTCTTTGAACTCCACATTCCTCCCTGACAACTGTTTGTCAGTGTGTGAGTGGGATGTATGAGTGATACACACACTAGAAATATGATGTAACAAATATTGAAGCTATTTGTTAACGTGTGCAAATTTGATTCAGAAATTGCTGAAGTGGTCAGTATGACTAGAAAAGGTCTGTATACATATATAAATGCAGGACATTTAATTGTGATTGTATTATTTTGTATTATCAGACAGAAGTCTACTATGTGACATTTTATATCCAAAAGGTCAAAGGTCATCTTCTCTGTGGCATCATAATGTTCACACTGTACTTGCTGTTATTTAACACCATAACTCAGGAACAGGAGGGGGATTCTGACCATACTTCCCAAAATGTGAGGGGTCAGCGAAGGGCGCACAATGTCCTTGTAATGGTGAAACTTGTAACATCTGAGACTTCCGGCTTGCTACCGAAGTTGTTGAATAAAATCAGCAGTAGGTTCATTGGTTTATTCATTGGTTCTGGTGAGAGTCTCCTGTGGCCTATGGCTGCCTATCACATTAAGGCGGGTTTAATTGGTCGCTGGCTAACAAAACACCTCTCTGTGCTCAGTGTACAGAGTCTGCGTTCTCCTCACACATATTTGGACGTGTCGACGAGGCATCTGCATCACATGGCAGGCCTGTCAGAGCTCACAAGTCAAAGGAGGGAAGTGCTGGAGGAGTGAGAGGCTGTTACCAAGCAGCTCAGGAATTTTGATGTTGGCCAGATTAGCAATGTAGATTAGAAGGCAGGAATTGTTGCAAAAAGTTGCGTCAGCAGGATGCCCGAACATCCGGAATGTGTTCACCCCTGCAGAGAGAAAATAGTTCCAAATGAATGTGCATCACTTTCACTAATGTTCTTTCTGTTTTGTTTTGGATAGAGTTGTTGTTGCGAGGTGTCTGTAAGTACCCAGCAGAGCTGCACGGCGTGGAGTGGATGACTGTGTAATTTGTGCGTACAAATTGTTTGCCTGTCTGTTAACTCAGTGGCTCCTCGAGGACTTTAACACCAGGTGCTGGATTAAAGTAGACGTGATGAAAAAACTATCCACTCAAAACAGTCAAGCCACCAGTATTTGAATAAATCAACAAATCTCTATCAGGCTGTAACACTGTCATTGCACTAATGTATTGGGAGCTTGACCTGCTGATTCCTGGCTGTGGATGGTGCATGGCTCTGGACTGTGTGTGAACAGCAGCTTGAGCCACACCTTTTTATAAGAGTGCACTGTGCTGCTGACAAATTCTCTTACTGTGGCTAATTAACAGCTTAGTCAGAAACAGCATAGGTCTCTCCCTGCAGTGCTCAGAGTGTGCTCTGAAGTCATAAGCACATGACAGCTCTGTACTTTGGATGGTGTTTGCCTGCAAAAGATAAGACTGTTGCTCTGGGCCAAAAGGGAAGTGCAGATGCAAGCGCTTCATGATCTCGTATTGAGTGTTTTTTCTGCACCCATATGCAAATGTGAGATTATTTATATATAACAGAGCTCAGGCAAATGTGAAGTAAAGAAATAAATGGAAATGCATGTAAACAAGTTATCTGTGGGAGTTTTTTAGCATCATGCTAAGTGATTTTGGTTATAAAATGAAATATATGAACTAAAAATGTGATGTTGCAGCACATGTATTCACATGATACTCGGCATGGAGGCACTTTACCGTGTTGACCGCCACTAATTTGCTAAATGGATTGTAAGTTGCAGTCCACCACACTTATTGTACTGACTGCATGGGTTTGGTTGGTATTCCGCTGAGGCTACGTCCACACTGATATGTTTTACATTTCAAAACAAAAAGGTTTTCTGTTCAGACAAATGTTTTTTGTGTCTGAAATTGTCTACTGTGCTGTTGCTTTGTTGCACAAAATGCTATGAACTAGGGATAAAGATTAACACCAGGGATTTCTTTTCTGGAGCTGATAACAAGATGGACCTGTTAGTGGCTGCAGGGGCTAGCAAAAGTCGTGAATGCTATGACCTCATCAAGAAACAAACTTGTTGGTGTAGAAAGCAAGTTCTGAGTTTCCAAGCTAAAACGAGCACCAGCACCACAAGTCTTCATTTTAGATGCTCGAAAACTCTGCAGTAGTGAAGACAATAGGCACAAACATGGCAGAAGTGATGAATGTTCAAACTGAAATGTATGAGTGTGGAGGTAGCCTTAATGTTTCTGTATGAGTGTTGTTGAGTGTAGAGTTGATGTCCCCTCTCTGTCACTTCACAGGTCCCTCTACAGCTCATAGAGAGCGTGGAGTGTCGGGATATGTTCCAGCTCCATGTGACCTGTAAGGACTGCAAAGTCGTCAGGTATGTCCTGCACCCTAAAGCCTTTGCAGCTGTTTCATACTGTCTGTTAAAGGTGTAAGAAACATGTAATGCTCTGTGCATTGCATGTGTTGTACAGAAACAATTTTCAAGGTTTTTTCTGATTTCTCTCCTGCATGTCCAGATGCTAGGTTTTAAGTTGCTTAAGAAACATTTAAAAAAGGCAGCAGAGCAAAAAAAGTCAATTATGCAGACTGTTTACCAGCTCAGTTTGTTTTACAGTTCTCCTTTTCTCAACTCAAATGACTACATTCATAATTAGCACCTCTGAGCCAAGTCCTGAACCTTTCCAGAACACACAAGTTTGGAAAAACATGTTTGATGTGACTGTAATATCAGACTGTACAGCTGCCATTTAGAGAGTAACACAGGATGTTATTTACTCTGGTCAGGAAACATGCTTTCCACAAACAAGGATAATATATTTTAAACGAGTTTTTGCTTGATTCTAAGTGTCAGTGTCGTACATCAGAATTGAAAACCTTTTTGAGTAGCACTTTTAAAATATTTCGTAGCCCGATGAAAATAACAGCGGCTTTTGCGTTCCCTTGTTTAATTCCCAGGTGTCAGTTCGCCGCGTTCGAGCAGTGTCAGGAATGGCTGAAACGTCTGAACGTTGTCGTGCGACCTCCCTCTCGTCTGGAGGACCTGTTCTCCTTTGCCTTCCATGCCTGGTGCATGGACGTGTACGCCGGTGAGAAGGAGCAGCACGGCGAGCTGTGCAGACCAGGTAACCCTGTCCCTCACATGTCCTCAAGTAACCCAAGCAGAACCCCTACTCTGCGCTGCTGTGTACTTATCAGACATCTCTGCTCTCTCTGTAGGTGAACATGTGACCTCCTGGTTCAAGAATGAGGTGGAGAGGATGGGCTTTGACACTCAAAACGCCTGGAGGATATCTGACATCAACAGCAAGTTCAGGTAATAGCAGCTTTCTTTCAGGAAACAAAAGCTGCTGCTGTGTTGATTTTCATATCCCTCAGCTAGAAGACAGATCTGTACTTCACTTTCATTGGCTCACATCACAACTCAGTGTGTGTGTTATATAGTGGGTGGTTGTGTTATTGTACGCCACTGGTGCTGCACCCTGGGCAGAACAAGGGCCCGGCCCAGGATTCGATGTCTTTTGTTGAGCTATCAGAATCCTTTGGCCTCCCCTGCCCTACTCTCTCTTTGTTTAGCCGCCGCTCTCTCTGTCTCTCTGCCCTGCCAGACTCTGCCCTAGCTATCCTCAGCAGCTCCTGGTGCCAGCCTGGATCACCGACAAGGAGCTGGAAAATGTGTCAGCCTTCCGCTCCTGGAAGAGGTTTCCTGCTGTGGTTTATAGGTCGGTGTGTTTGTTTCTCCCTGAGCTCTTTAAACCAGAAAGCCAACATGTTTACCACTGCATAGAAATGAAAAGCGCCACTATGTGCAGATGGTCCTTTTTATTTGTGTAAGGGATTAAACAGTCTTCAGATAATATCTTTGGCTGTGCTTTAGTGCCACCGTCTCCTTTGGCCAGGAAAACCACAACACGCAGCTAATGTCTAATAAATAATTCTCCATCATTACCAAACCTACTGACTTAACAAGTGACATGCAGTGCATGACAGCTTCAGTGAATTGTGGTCATTTTATTTTGAACTAAACCTGAAGCCTTTGATTTTTGTTTTTGGAAAAACTTCTCCAACTCAAAATCTAAACTTTGTTTTTTCCAGCATCTGAAGACAAATGTTTGCTTTGGTGGCTGCAGAATTACTGAAGCCAGTGATTTCCAACCTCTGTGCTTTATACAGAAAGTCTGTTTGTTAACGAGTCATACTTCTGTGGGCGATATTTTTCTTCTTGCTTTTTTAGAAATTGAATTTCTTTTTGGTCGTATGTATGTCATAAATCCAATCACATTTAACATTAGTCTGAAAGAATCGTTTGATATTATTAATAATAATTTCTGCTTATCAGTATATATTCTCTGTTTTGTCCATGGGGGACATTTTTACAGGAAACCTAACAGTGATGTTAATCAGATAGTGAAGTGGTGCATTTTGATATTTTGAGTTTCTTCAAATTACATTTTTTTCTGTATTTCCATGGCAGTGAGTTTGACTTGGCCAAAGTGAGAGTATGTTCTCAACTCAAAACCTTTCACTAATAAGCAACAGGTAGATATTGCAAAGCTTTTTGTTGACAGTATGTATATAAAGGGATTTACTTGTTCACACTGACTCTGAATTATAAGATCACTCAATACTGGACCCCTGCACACTCAAAATACACTATAAAACATTATTAGATTCAAGATAATAATAATAATAATAAATCAACAATTGAAATAAAATGTTGTTAAACAGATAGATGATACACGTCTCTTAACTAGGACATAACCTCCAACTCTATCACTGTATCGTACATACTGTGAACAGCCACAGTCTCTTCTTATGGCATTGGACTGACTGTGTTCTGGCTGACTGGTCACACAGGCACCTGAGCACGGGGGCTGTGATCGCCCGCTGCGGTCAGCCAGAGGTCAGCTGGTGGGGCTGGAGGAACGCTGATGACGAGCACCTGGTCCAGTCCATCGCCAAGGCCTGCGCCGTGGACAGCAGCTCCCGCAAACACCTCAACAACGGCACCTACACCAATGGCTCAGAACTGCCTGACTTCGGTGAGAGCTCACTCCCAGTCCGCCTCTCAAAGCATCTGACTGACTGTACAAACACACACCTTCAGCTCAGCACACACCCACCACCAAACACAGACGGGAGGATTTCCACACTGAAGTCTTGCTACTGTATCTGTGTAAATTTGCTGCAGACACTGTTGTGCAATCCATCGTGTCGGGGCTTGTCTGAGGCTGCAGGTTCACACAGGTCACAGTAACGTCTGATGAACACATTACACGTGCTACACGTTCACATCTTTATGGACTTTTTTAAGAATCTTGATCATGATCTCTAACATATCATCTGTGAGTCTCACCTCTGTGTTTTGTGTCTGCATTAGAATCCTCCATGACCAACAGCTCAGAGGTGGAGACGTTGGTAATCCAGCCCCACAAGTTACTTATCCTGGACGCCAGGTCCTACGCTGCTGCCGTAGCGAACAGGGCCAAGGGGGGAGGCTGTGAATGCCCAGGTACATCCCCTCAGCTCTGTGCCTGATCACAGACACAATTACGTCAGTGTGTTATGGATTCAGCATCTCCGTTGACCATTAATATGTTTGTTGTCTCTGCTAAAATTAAAACCACAACTACCCTTTGTCTTCTAAATCTTTTTTACCATTGTTTACATTCTGTTCCAGAGTACTATCCCAACTGTGAGGTGGTGTTTATGGGTATGGCCAACATCCACTCAATCCGCAAGAGTTTCCAGTCTCTGCGTTTCCTCTGCACTCAGATGCCTGATCCAGCCAAGTATGTTTTTTTCTTTTCTTGAATGCCTCCAGCAGTGCTTCTAACTTCCCCTTGTTGTTACTTCTTCAGCTCTGCAGGTTAAAACTATTAAATCCACGGCTCTCATGCTTTGCTGTAGTAACTGTAGGTAACTAGTAATCACAGCTGTGTTTTGGCCTTGGCCATACATCTGTGCCCGATTTAGAAGGCCTGGCCCAGCCCCAAGTGGAGGATCTCTTTCCATCTGTGCTCTCAGACTCTGTGCCACAATGATGTGTAATTGAATCACGCTGGCTTAAGAGAACGTTGTTGACATTGGTTAAAAGATCAAATCAGACCAAAACAGACTCCTTACCATGTGTCCCTGCTTTCACTCAGTCATAAAGTTAATTTCTATATGTTGTAAGATAAGAGTCTTGTGCACAAACCTTATGTTTTTTATATAGAACACAGCACGATAAGCTGATTTCTCCAATTTTCTGCTAATTCCAGCATTACACCACCATACAACTAAACTGTGTATGACCGTCTGCTGAGCGCGACCTCATAAAAACATCAAAATATAAAGTGTCGCAAGCCTGTCTCAGTCACAGACTCTTTGTGTTTGTAGACGAGACAAACGCACGATTAGTGCTCGGAACACAAACCTAGATAAGATAAGACAAGGGAAACATTTACTCGTAATTGAAGTGGGTCAAGGTGTCTCATTGTGGTCACCCTGGTAATGTATTTGTATCTTACATGACCCACATCCACACAGGCAAAGTTAATGAATCTGTTTGTGTGCAGTCATGTTTCTGGACACCTGACAAATTTAGGACTCATATCTGAGTTCATCTGCTAAATTCTCCACAGAAAAACATTAGAGCTTATCCCACAGCTGGGCTCGTATCTATACAAAGACACACAGAAGTCATTAATAGGTGGTTGAAACTTGCAACGGTTATAAAGGCTGTGGTATGTGGCACTGGTCCATGCTATGTATTTGTTCTTATAAAAACAGGTGTGCCATCACTCTGTGTCTGAGGCATATGAGGCTGCGTTTTTTTTCATGCTGTTTCTGTGTGTGTTCCTGCAGCTGGCTTTCTGCACTGGAGAGCACCAAGTGGCTGCAGCACCTGTCCCTGTTGCTGAAGGCGGCGCTGCTCGTGGTCAACGCCGTGGATCGCGACCACAGGCCCGTCCTGGTGCACTGCTCTGATGGCTGGGACCGCACACCTCAGATCGTTGCTTTGTCCAAACTGCTGCTGGACCCTTATTACCGAACCATTGAGGTACAGATGTAGTCTTTGCTTCTTTTAGCTCCAGCCCTGGTCAGGACCATTTTAAGTGTTTTGTTTCTGGGACATATTCCCCTGAAAACTCATGAAGACTAACATTGACAGCAGATGCTGCTGGAATAACATGTAATACCAGAAAAGCCTGGATAGGTTGACATTTGTTTTTAGTTTTAAAAAACCTTTCACATGATTGGTTTTAAAAGACTGACTTAACAGTGATGCAACATTTTATTGAATGTAAGTTGTTTTGACCTCTTTGTGCAGGGCTTCCAGGTTTTAGTGGAGACGGAGTGGCTGGACTTTGGTCATAAGTTCGCAGACCGCTGTGGCCACGGAGAAAACTCGGAGGATCAGAACGAGCGCTGCCCTGTGTTCCTGCAGTGGCTGGACTGTGTGCACCAGCTGCAGAGGCAGTTTCCATGCTCTTTTGAGTTTAACGAGGCCTTTCTGGTGCGTATGGTGGTCCTCAAACTTTGTAAAGTCTTTTACGGGATTGTAAAGTCTTCTTAGATACGGAGATTAGACTCTGCAGAATGTTTTTATTCTGCAAAGGTTGAAATAACATGCTTCTGATCCATGTGTCATCACTCTGAGTTTCCAGTTATGAGACACTAAAATGCTGTATAGGTTTGCTAGCGACTCACACAAGGAAACTCCTGTCATTGCTGCTCTTATTATCATACCTAAAGTGTCTTTACAAGCCTCTACATGCCAGCTTGTGTGTATGTGTACACAGGTGAAGCTTGTGCAGCACACCTACTCCTGTCTGTTTGGCACCTTCCTGTGCAACAGTGGCAAGGAGAGGGAGGACCGCCATGTCCAGGAGAGGACCTGCTCAGTGTGGTCGCTGCTGAGACCGGCCAACCGCACACTGAGGAACATGCTGTACTCCTCGCACTCTGAGACCGTACGTCTGTCTTTTCCCAAGCATGTTAGAAAGAGTTTTTTTTTTTTTTCAAACTAAGCAGACTGAAGTCCTGCAAGACAAAGGATAAGCGAAGAAATGTGTTGTTAAAATGTTTTAATTTAAAAAAGGAAGTCAAGCCTCCTGACGAAGTTTTCAAAGCATTTTGGGAAAGATAAATCTTTTTATTTCATATTGTCCTTTTAGATTTATTGTTATGGTCTTTAATTTGATTTAGATGTCTTCCTGCATCCCCTCTGAGACTTGCATTTTGTGGTTCCTGTTGTTGTTGTCTTTGCATTTCTGTGTGTGTAGGTGTCATGGCCATTAACTATTCTTGACTCACCACGAGTTGAAAATCATTCTCCCACAACTGCCTTCACCATCCATCATCTGTCTAACAAAGGGCTTTGTTTTGTTTCTTCACATGTTCCAGATTATTTAGCTGTATTTTTGTTTCTTGTTTACGTCCTCAGTTAATTCTCAGCTGTTGTTGCAGGTTCTCCACCCAGTGTGTCACGTGCGCAACCTGATGCTATGGACAGCGGTCTACCTGCCCAGCTCCTCCCCCACCACACCCTCCGACGAGTCCTGCGCCCCCTATCCCGTGCCCGGTGCCAACCCGGAGGATGCACCACTGGGCAGGTGAGCCTGGTGTGTTGGCACCCGAGCCCCCTTCTTCCTCCTCTATGTAAGATTAACACAGGTCGACGACTCCCACAGCTGAAGAGGCCCAGCTTTTCAACTTGCCTGCTTATATGCTTTGCTCTGCCCAGGCCCTAACACAACGATACTTTTTGATGATACTTTTTGATGCTCTGCTGGCAGCCGTACCATCGTGGAAGAACAACAGGAAGTTGCATCATTGCATTGTTGACAGAGTTTGGCAGCTAGCTGATTCAAAGAGACAGAGTCGGACTGGTTCTCTTTTTACGTTTGTGCTGCATTTCTCTCATTTTGTTGATGCTGACGTGTGATTAATTTGTTAGCCGAACATTTTATAATGCTTCTCTGCAGCCTCAGATTGAATCGTATGGTGTCCAATATATTGAGCTACTGTTTTGTAATGAGATGCTGTTTCTGTGTGTAATTTCTGTCTCTGTTCACCTTCAGATGTACGAAGACTCGCTCTTTTGACAACCTGCCCAGTGCATGTGAGCTGGGAAGCTCCATGGCTCCCAACCGCCGCTCCAGTGACCCGAGCCTCAATGAGAAGTGGCAGGACCACCGGCGATCTCTGGAGCTCAACATGGCAGTGGGACCCGAGGGAGGAGGGAACCAGGATCAGGAGGTGCTGCCTAACGGAGTGGGGCCTTACCCAGACAGAGCAGACTCTGAACTGGATGAAGGCACTCAGCCCCAGGTCTCGCTGGCGGAGGTTGGACAGGGATCCTCTGCGATGCCAGCAGCAACAGGAGAGGAAGCAGAGGAGGCAGAGCTCTCTGTGGCGGTGGGTGTTGCCGAAGGCCAAATGGAGAACATTCTTCAGGAAGCCACAAAGGAGGAGGCAGGAGCAGATCATAGAGAGGGAAGTGCTGCTGTGACTCTTGTCATTAACACTGTTGACACAGAGTCGGAGAGAGAAGCACAGGTTGAGGATGAGAATGAGAGCACTGAGGTTAACGGGACTGAGGTGCAGACAGAATCACTCTCTAATGGTCACCATCCAGAGAATGGTGGACTGGAGGCTGAGTTGGACGGTGAGTCTCCTCCTCCGCCTGCACAGAAGACAGAGGAGCTGGATGAACGGGCTGTTGAGGTGACTCAGACACCAGAGGATGTAGAGACTCAGGATGTTGAGAAGTCTTCTGTAAAAGAAGAGGTTGCACATGGACCCAGTGAGGGTGAGCCAGAGCAGACTGCAGCACATAGAACTATAACTAATGGCTTTATGGACAGGTCACCTGAAGATCTCAGCGTGGACGAGGAGACCTGCCCTGACTCTGAATCTGACCACGGTGTCTCTGAGCCGATGGAGCAGGTGGAGAAGAGGGCCTCTCTCATGGAAAGCTCAACAGAGACTTTAACTGAAGAGGCCTGCGGTAGGCTGGAGCTGCCCACACAGCCGCCCGTGTGTCTGAGCCGTCATCCCTGCAGTGACGGCAGAAGCCAGCCACCCTGCTCCAGGAAAGAGAAAGGGGTTGAGGCAGGCGAGCACAGCTTCATCAGAACTTTAAACGGGGCCACCAAGCGACCCTCTGTCAGTGCCTTTCAGTCTGTGAGTGCTGACCTCAGCAGGGAAGGGCTTTGCAACGGCGACAGCTCTGACGGGGAGCCCTGCGGAGGTCCCCACTGGGCCAAAGGGAACGGGGAGCGGACCCCTCTGAGTCGACAGATGTCCCTCGCAAGCTGTAACTCCCTGATCCTCCATCCGCGGGGCAGTTGCTCTCAGCACCGGTGGTGCCACTCCCTCCTGAGCCGGGCCGCCATCAGCCCAGAACAGCCATCGCGCAGTCATCTGGACGATGACGGGCTGACTCTGCACAATGATGCCATCCAGCAGAGGCTGAGGCAGATCGAGGCGGGGCACCAGATGGAGGTGGAGACTCTGAAGAAGCAGGTGCAGGAGCTGTGGAGCCGCCTGGAGAATCAGCAGCACACAGGCTCCCATAGGATCAACGGGGACATGGGAGACGAAGTGGTAAGATGCTGACAGGTTGAGGATAAAACTGACTGTTCACCACCTGGACGTATCTTCACACTTCCTTAGCATTTGTTAATCCGTTATCTCCCCCCCATGCAGACCTCAATGACAGACTATGAGTACAACCTGGACCCCAACTGTTTGTCGCGCTGCAGCACAGAGATCTTCTCTGAGGCCAGCTGGGAGCAGGTGGACAAGCAGGACACTGAGGTGAGCCTGGCCTTGAATAAGAATATAATGTCTCTGTGTAGTTAGAGGTTACATTTATGGACCTAATTACTCTGTACATTAAAGGTCACTCGCTGGTACCCTGACCATTTGGCAGCCCAGTGTTACGGCTGTGAGAGCAGGTTCTGGCTCGCCACCAGGAAGCATCACTGCAGGTAAATACTGAGGACTATCGAGCTGCAGACGCTTAAAGCTTCACCATCACTGTGATCAACAACTTACCTCTGTCCTGCTGAGGCTCAAAGAGATTTCCTCTTTTTAAACTTGCTCCTCTCTTCTTCAGATGCATCCACACTGAGTCTAGATTCAGCTTTCAGTTGATCCATTGATTAATTTATCTTTATTAATCTTATTGATACACACATGTTACTATCAGGGTAAGATCTCAGTTTATCGTCCAGCACTACAGAAGACGCATTTGTGAGCAGGGCCTCCCTGTCCTCCCATCAGACAGACACGCCTGAGTTAGACTTACATTTCCACAAAGTTGTGAGAGACAGACTTAAGAAAAAGGACCAAGCAGCAGAGACTCAGATTCCACATCTGTATTTCGAATCACTGTCGTTATTGGGTCCTTTGATTGAAAGCCTGTCATTGTGATAGGTTGTTAAACTGATTTATTTACTTCAGGGTTTGTTAGATTAAGCCTACAAGAAACAATAACTGTTAACAGATGGAACAACAGTGTCCATTTTCTGTCACTATCTGGAAGCATCAGGTTGTCGATTCATGCTTTATATTGCGCAACAAGACAGACAACAGATTCATTTTAATGTATTGTAGCTAGTTTTTCTTCATGTGTTATCATTTCCTCATATCATCATTTGGCCTTTTTTTTCCTTCTGGTGAGTTGGATCAAGTTCATCACTGAGTGGCAGAGATCTTAGTAACATGAACCTGTGTGAGCTAGGGCTGGGCGATATGACTTCAAATCAATATCATGTTTCTTTCAAACTTTTCGATTACGATTAATGAATGGTTATTTTAGGCCGACATACCCCCACCCAACAGTTGCGGATCAGAGACGTCAGCTGAGTCTCTGAGAGAGAGAGAGAGCAGGGAAATCACTGTGTGCGTGGCGCCATTACCTTTCCTTCAAGTTGTGGTACTATCATACAGAAGCTACACAATTCTTTAATAGTAGGCAGCTGCCCGAGTCACAGACGTGATCACTATAGGCGCTTTCTACTGCACTGGGATTTTGTCATGAGGCGGAGGCAGGAAAAACCCTGGTCAGGCCTTTTTTTTGTTATACAGTGAGAGCGAAGTACTGAAAAAAAAAGTACAGATGGGTACTGGTACTGAATTCCAGGTACTGGGTTTCGGTTCAAATGTGAACGGCACCCAACCCTAGTGCACACGAAATGTACGTGTAAAGTAAGCGCAGATCAGCGGGGGAGGACAAAGTCCCTGGGCTGCAGCCACAAAATGAAAGTAGTGGAAACCTGACAGTTCATGAATGCAGACATTAGGGAATGTATGAACCAGATTAATAGACGTGAGCCGGATTAAGTCGGTTAGAGATTCTAAGTATCGGTTTAGATACATTTTTGGTTAATTGCCCAGCCCTAGTTTCAGCTCTGGATTCAAAAACAAAACGACTGTTTTTTTTACAGTAAAGAGTCACAGCTCTCTCACATATGTGGCTGATTTAAATGAGATATATTTTCACACATCTTTAGCAGGAAGTGTGTTTTTAGTGCTTTAGGTTTTTCTCCTCTGTCCAGTCAGTTCTTATCCATTGTCTGCCCCTCTCCTCCTCTACAGTGGCAGAGAACCTGTCCAGGAGGTCTGGTGAGATCCGGCTCCCCACCCACCCACCCTCTCCTCTGCCCTTTTAACTGGACATCACTGCACTTTCCTCCTCCCAGTACCCCCCCACCCCCCCCACCTGGCATTGTTGCATCTAGTTTCCCTTTATTGTGTTTAAATTCTCAGCAAATCCTCAGGGTCAATCATTTGGAGATGTATTGATAGGACTGTGTTTTCATTCAGAGGTTGGAAATCTGGCTAAGTGTGAGCAGGCTGCTGCCAGTGGAACAGCTGTGTTAGGTTCTTACTTCTCCTGAAAAATTAGAATAAATTTAAAAAAAATTCTCCAACCTTAAACCCTCCTCCTGCCATAGCACCCCATCCTCCCTCCACCCTCGGCATACACCCTGGCAGCATGCTGCCCTAAACCACCCCCCTGCATCTCACTTCCCAGCAGCAGCAGCATGGTACTGTAGACTCTCAGTCCACATAATCACATAGGATCAGAGAGAATGACATGAGTTGTTTGTATTTTTTAACATTTCTGCTCAGTGTGAGTAGAGGCAGGCAGGAGGGACCCCTGTGTGTAGTGTGTGTAAGAGTGTGAGCATGGCCTTACATCTAAGTGTGAGCATGGGTATCTGACGCCTCCAGAGTGCCCCGGCTTCCTGTCCAGTGATGGTAACTTGTGTTTTTAATGGGCTGAATAATCACATTAGCACTGCTGAGTGTCACAGCACCTATGCTAACGCAACATTTAGTGAAGCATCACAGCAATGTGCAACTGTAAACAGGGGTCATGTGTAAAGTAGAGGTCTTCACGGGTCCATTGTTTTGTCTGAGGAGCACATGAACATCGAGAGAAGAACAGAAAGAGAACAAACACTGACAGCAGTGTGATGTTAACGAGCCACTGTGGTGGAAAAGATTAATGTAATATAAATAGTGTCAATGGCCTAAGTACAAAAGCAAGATCATGAAAATCATTTATTTATATACTAAAAAGACAAATGAAACAGGGCCTCCAACACAATAATGGAACACACTGGGTGAACACAAGGCTCTGATCTGTTTAAAATCAGTGAATCAAATTCCTGACAATCATTAAATAACAAAAATCTGATTTCAGCTTTAGTTCCAAGCTCTGGTGAACTGTGACATTCACAGCTCTTATTCTCCTTTTAGTTCTCTGTGACAGGCCACATAGTCAGAGTGGATTACAGCCTCCGTTTCAGTGCTTCCAGGTATCGAACATACTGTATTAACACACAGACCAGTGAACTCCTCACTGTGGTGCCTCTGAACAGTGGAGCCGTGAGGACCTGTAGTGCAGTGCTCAGGAGGAACCACTCAGTTCTTTGAGTTTCACACCTGCTCTACTTGTGTTTTCTCGTGTGGCACCAGAGATCAAATTATTATCAGAAACAGCAAATGCAAGGTGGAAAAAGTTTCCATTTTCACATCAGGGTCTTGTTCTTCCAATGTGAGTTCACTAAGCCAGACTATCTATCATCGTGGTAACAGCACAAAGACTTGATTTGTTCATTTTGGATGAAATAACATTGGAGAGCTCAGAATCTATGAGCAAACTAATCAATATTATTATTACACAGCAGCAACAGTAGTCTGATATAGTGGACTGGAATCTGACAGATCATCACTGATGTGTGCTGTCTTAATTTGACCAGTCATCAATCAATCATAGTGTCTTATTAGGATTATTTATATTGTTTAATATATGAATATTATATTTCCATGCATTGAGCAGTGCATGTGAAGCAGTGCAGTGGTATAATCCTGGTTGATGGTGAGAAGAGCCTTTAATTCAGAAAATCTTTGACTCTGACTTTAGCAAAAATTGGCTGATTATGCAGCATTTCATTTCCCTCATTTTACTTTATTTATATTGATTGACTAAATTTGAATAGGGTCTTTTTTTGGTGTAAATGTCACAGTTTTTAAAACTATACTACTGAAACACCCAAAGATTGATTTTCTCCAGAATTAATATGTTCTGAGCTGAAATCAAATTTACCTTATGTCTACATTTTTCAGTTCTGCATCTAAAGTCTTAATGCCATCAAATCCTGGCTTGTGTCAAATCATCATCAATCAAATGAAACTCAGTCACCCTGATGTTCAGACCCTGGTTCTAGTGTAAAGTAGCTGAGTCGCATGTAAACATGATCTAAAAGTAGACGCATAGTAACTATAGGTGTAGACGGGCCCTGTGTGAGAGTCCAGCAGTGATCTCTCTGTCTCCCCCTGCAGGAATTGCGGTAACGTGTTCTGCGCCAGCTGTTGTGACCAGAAGATCCCAGTGCCAAGCCAGCAGCTGTTCGACCCGAGCCGCGTCTGTAAGACGTGTTACAGCAGCCTCCAGCTCAGCCCGGTGCCCCTGGACCATGAGCTGGAGAAGCCCATCGCAGCCAGCTCCAACTGAGGCTCAGAGGAGCGGCTGAGAAGGAGGAGTCGGGCTGAGCGTTCAGCTGCTGACACAGGCACTCTGCTGAGGAGAAGAGCACAGGAGCTGCACAGAATGTCCCATGTACTTTGTGTGTGTGTGTGTGCGCGGCAGTTACGTAATTGTTAATGTGTATATACCGTGGACGACGTGGCAGCGGAGCTGAATGACGTGTTTTCCAGATGCCGAGCGCTCTGAACAGTGGATGTGCACAGGGGTGTGTGAGAGTGTGTGTGACAAGAAATTGCACATTGGCCACACAGAGTGTGTGGCAGCGATGGGACTTCACTCCTAGGCCAGAGGAGGGAGGAAGGATGTCCTGGTGCCTTGGACCAGGCAGACAGAGGAGGTCGTCTCACTGTGTTGCTGAAGTCTCCTGCAGGACTTTGGTCCACTGAATCTGTTTTCACCACTTACCCACAATTCTCATCAGGATCAGAATTCTACCCACCATCATGGACTTCTTCTTTTTCTCTGTATGAGCAGAGGTGATGGAGGAAATCTCCTAGCAGTCCTGAGACCATAGCATCAGAAATGTCTGGAGGGTGATGTTCACACATGTTGTTTAAGGAGAGGATTAAATGGTCAGTTCACCCAAATGAACAAAAACAGCACATTTCCTCACCTTGTGATGAGATCTCATGTCTGAGATTTTTTGCTGCCAACCCAATATCCAGGAGCTGAAGTGAATTAAAGCTACAGCCAAAATTTTCTCTATCAATAATCAGCTAATCATTTTATCATGGAATCAATGCGTTTTCTGTAAAATGTCAGAAAATAGTGACATTTGAAAAAGTCTCAGAGCCCATAAATACACAATACAACATATTTAGATTCAAAATAGTTCTAATAGTTTTCTGTAACAACACATGAAACAAAAGACAGCATCTGTTTTTCTTTAGAAAAATTATCTTATTTTCTTTAAACTGCAATTGTTAAATTTGTGGAGCTCTAATAACATTTACAGTGACCTGGTGTTGCACTAATCTACAGTTTCAGTCCAGTAAAAATCATTGCAACCCTGGTCGATATTTTCTAATTTTATTCCTGCGTGTGGATTGAGCTCAGGTGTTGAGGTGAATGTTTGTGGACTCAACACCCAAAGTGAGATAACACTGATGACATCACTATGAAATCATCAGGATAAAAGAAAAAGCTTCTCCGCAGACGTTAAACAGCTGATTTCAGTGCTCATGATGTTTCCATTAAACATGGAACATTTATTTCCCAACAGACACTGATATGATTATTGGGTGAACTGACCCTTTAATATTCTGATTGACTGAATCTCAACACATTTGCTTTTGTTTTGGATTTTAACTCAGTCTTTCACTCTGAATGGCACAGACGTGTGCGTGTATGTTTATGCAGCTTGACTTGAAAAGACAAAACCCAAAAAAATAGTTTGGACATTAGGAGTTAGTATTTTAAGTTTGTTGAGATTCAGTCCAGACATGTTGTGTAGATTTCAAAGCCTCGGTGATCATTAACAAAAACACAGTGAGGAGTCTTTATGATTACTATCTGTAAAACAACAGCAGCCCTGTGAGTCTTCATCAGTGATCAGGAGAAACGTCTTCAGAGACTGACTTATTACTCGTCCACCAGTGTAAACTGATGCGTTGTGGCGTTGTCGCTTTGTGTCAGGTGGCAGACGAGCTGTGGGTTGTTTGTGTCCTCGTCACGGACTTACAGACTGTGTCGTTTCTCCTTCTGGCCATTCACTCACAACAGCCCCCTCCCTGTCAGTGTTTTTTACCCAGCAGGCACTGGGAGCTGGACCTCTCCTCACTTTTCAATCCTCTGGTGGGAGTCAGAAGTGAAGTTGTGAATTTGACACTTAAATTCCCATATTCTTATTCTTATTATTTTTCAGGCGGCAGTCAGTCGTGATATCACTTGTGATTTCCACTGGCTGAAAGGTGCAGGAGAGCAGCAGAAGAAAAGGGCTCTTGGCGTTTTCCTAAAACTCTGTAACCGAACATGAAGCTTCACTTCCCCTCTGCCTAACACACACACACGCACACATGCGCACACACACACACACACTTTTGTAAGATAAATGAATTAAATAATATATTCAGATACCTATATAGCATTTAAGAAAATGTATAGAATCCTTGAATAGTGGCTCACTTAATTAGTCACCAAAAAGTTTTTTTTATTATTTGTTTTTCTTATGTTGTCGATGACAGAAAATGACGTATATTTTGCCGCCTGTTGAAGGTGACAGGAGAGTTTGTTTTTTTAAATAGAGAAGCAGGGTGTCCTGTGTTGATGCTGCAGTGGTTTTTCCCTTTTAAAATGCGATCATTACTTTGATTTTATTTATTAAGGTTTTGTTGTTGCTGTTTTTGAAAATCCAGACAATTCAAAATTGCCACAGGATAATCAGTGTTTATGAACTGAGCGGTGAAAGATGGTTCTGATCTGTGGCGACGACCACACTCGTGTTTCTGTTGTGTAACGTGTGGATGAAATGATTTCTAAATCCACGTAGGAGCAATGAACCCTGGGAGAAGGAGGGGGTGGAGTCCGAGGTGTCAGCGAGCCTCTCCCGTGTCAACATGAAATAAGATGACGAGTGTGTGTGCTGCCAACAAGACGTCTATGCACTGAGAGAACCGTGGTCCAAAAAAAACCAGCTGCCTGAACCCAAAATAAATGCCCCCCCTCTCACTCATGCTCACACTCACACACGCACACACAGAATGACTCCATTCTATCTCATCAGACAAACACTACCTCTACTTTGTACACATGCACACACACATTCACACTCGGCTTGTAGTCGCGGAGTGACTCTTCCAGATTCACGTCATCGAGAATGGCCTTTGTCGTTACTATTAAAACCCTTTTTGTTTTTCCCCTGTTAGTCAGCTAGAGCGTTAAAGGTACAGCACACGACCGCTTTAATTTTCCTATTCAGACCACAAGTCTTTTGACTCTCATCATACAGCAGAGGACCTTCCCGTGTCCATGTGCGTCTCCACACTGGATGGTTAAGTTCGATCGAACCTCTAAAGCGGTGTAGCTAACCGAGGGAAGTTATAGATACAGCGATCAGCCACAGCTTTAAGATCAGGCACCTGGTGTTAATGTTGTGAAGGTTTATAACTGTGACAACACACAGATCTGCTGGATTGAAAGTGGTGGGAGCAGATGATTGAAGTGCTGTTGAAGTCTGAGCATCAACAGGCCTGAAGTGTTTTTCTCTCTGCGTCCTGTGGAAGTGGTGAATGTGTTTGATTCAACAGTTCGACCTTCACTCTTTCAAACAGAACAGAAACAAAACAAGAATTGTGTGTCCCTCATAGATGAGACACTGTCATGTAAATCACTTAACAACAAAACACTTGAACAAGCGACAGCATCGACTGACCAAACGTTGATTACATGTCAGATTTGTTTGAGACGGTACTACTGCTGCGAATAAAAAATTTGGTTTGACCCACGACGAGCCTCTGTTTTCTCTCCACCTGCTGTCTGAGAGAAACCAGAAAACGACTGTTCAGTGTGTAATGCTGATGTGAACATGGCCTCTAATCCAAGATCAGTGCTCCTGTTAAACATGTGATTTATTCCGAGGCTTCACACGTCTGTCTCCTACATGTAAAGAAAATGTTTGCCAGCGCTGCATATTTCATCATCTCTGACATTCTCAGATCAGACGTCAGAATTTCTCACTGTGTAATTCCACCACCATCACAGACATGTGGGGCAACGAGCTTGTTCAACAATCCATGAATGTGAATCGTCTTGATTAAAAAAAGAAAAGAGGCTATTTTTTGCACATGATATAAAGTAGACACTGCCACAGAGTGCATCAAAATAAAACTGAAACAGAACGTGAGCTGTGCTTCTCAGTATTGTAACGAGCATGATGGTGTGTATGTGTGTGTGTGTGTGTGGGTGGGAGGGCAGCTTACACACATGATGCCAGGATGATCCCTTGCTGTGTTGGTTTATTTTTTTTCTCTTGGTCTTCACACTTTTGTCATCTTTCTCCTCACTCGCACTGCGACGGCCCAGTTATCACTTGACGTGAGTGTGAACATGTGAATGCATCGAGCACTGGTGCGTGTGTGTGCGTGTCTGTGTGTGTGTGTGTGTGTGTGTGTGTGTGTGTGTGTGTGTGTGTGTCTCTTCCGGTGGAGACTGGTGCCAAGCAGTTTTATTACTGGTCTCTCACAAAGGGATCACTCGTGCTTTTTGTTTCATTCTCTCTTATTTTTTTCTCCCCTCGTCTGTTTGATAAGCACTTTGAACCCTCTCATGTCTGACAGAGGAGTGTGTAGCTGTACATAGCGACTTCCTGTAACAACAAGTGCTCCTTGTTCAGTCTGAATATTTTGTTTTTGTTGGATTTACTTTAAAGAGCATTACATTGTTGTAGACTTAAAGGAGAAATAAACTAGATAAACCTACTGTGTTGTCTGCTAGCAGCAGCTGATACCTGCTCTCAGTGACATGCTGGAAGATCTGCAGCTGAACACACACACACACAAGAAAAGAGTCAGAGCATTTCAGTCATGTTTAATGCATGTACTCAGTATACATCTCTAAAAATCATACTGTCAATACTGACTAACATCAATGTCTACCTATCAAATGCAAATCCAAGTGACAGAAAAGAACAACCACGAGAAAGAATCGAGATCGAGAAGCGACAGGTGCTGCTGTAAGTTAGTCATGCTCACCGATGGGACGAATGGAGGGCGGTCGTACTGGCTCTAAAGAAACGATACAAGAAAGTGACGAGCCCTGAGGACTACCACACTTCATATCACTGCACACAAACGGGACATCTGTACCATAATCAGCAGCAGCGGAGTAAGAGCAAGCAGAGGCGGTGTTGGCCGGCAGACCTGCATGGTTTTTCATCTTAGGTTTGCGAAAAACAACACAAGGAACACTTGGAGCAAAACGCTGCGTAATAATAGTTTTACAAAGTATGGCCGGACGGCGACTGTCAATAAAGCAATCATATGCAGGTCTATATCAAAGGCTGTGCAGCGAGAGGACCACACATTTGATCCAAAGAAAGACTGGTCATGTAACAAGAACAAGGTTTTAACTCCTGTTCAAATCCAATCTCATGTGCAAAGTGTTGCTTCCTCTGAGTTTCTCTTCATCTTTCATCTAACGTCTGTTTGATTCTCTGAACTGAGAAACAAACCAAATGAGATGTTTTCAGATTCGGATCAAATCTTCATACATGTCACCTCCTCTGACATTGTTCATCTCCCTGCAACATGAAACTCAGTTTTAAAAAAAATAGACATGGCTTCACCAGCCGACTATTCCCTTAATCTATAAAAACTCAGACAGCAATATGTACAACTTTGAGTATATATATATTATAAAGTAGATTCTCTTGATGTGTAGCTCAGTGCAGGTTCGCTGACACCAAATCTACTGAAAGCACGACTCAGTAAAACAAGATTGTCGCAGGAGACGTCTCCCAGTGCAGGTTTATGTGTTGTTGAACGTGGAGGAGAGACTGCACTATGTACAGCAATGAGGCTGCCAGTCAGCCTGAGTGATGTGTGCATGTGTGTGTGTGTGGATCGAGGATTTCCAACGGTTTCTCTTCAAACCTCAAGTCACGAGCACTTCTGGGTTCACACTGATGACTGGTCCCACACCTGCAAGACAGGAGCAAGGGCAAAGAGTCACTATCGTCCTTTCAATTTCAACATGACTTACTCTGCTATTACAAAAAACATCAGTGACGTCATTAAAACAAAGTATTTGTATTCTTTACACTGCATATTTTATCATCTTCTATTTATTTATTATCTATTGTGCGATCAAATAATTGAACAATTGATGTTTGAGACGGACAAGAGATGGGAAAAAGGAGAGGTGAGACTCTGGGTAGAACTGAACTGGGGACATTAGAAATTCATTGTAACCATCCAGACTCCCTGTGGTACCTTGTTGACAGGGGCGAGCTGTGTTCGGACAGACCCAGCATGGAGTCGAGAGCTGTCCCCGAATCTCCCAGGAGACCTCTCCCTGCGACTGTCCAGCACTCTGCCAGGTGACTTCTCTCTGTCCAAGGGTCGGGCAGGGGATTTATCCCGTCTGAATTCGGTGCGTCCCTCCCGGTAACGATGCGGCGTGCTGGGCTCTCTGTGCAGGCCGTCATGGCTGCCGGGGCCCGAGGACAAACGCTTGGTGATGTGCTCTGTGTAGGTGGGGGGGCCTCGCTTGCTGGGACTACTGTATCAAACACAGCCGAGAGCAGCATGTCACGACAAAGTGTGAACGAAAAGGTTTTACTTTTTTACAGCAGATGATGGTGTTGGCTTGGTCTATAAAACAATTTCTCTCTGTTGAGTTTCAGAGTTTAATTAATGTGTTTTGATGTAATTTGTAGGTGTTCGAGTGCTTTTAGTCTCCTACACAGTGTCACTGAACCTGTGTTTCTGTCTCTAATTGTGTTTTTGTGAAGAGATCAAACATTACAGAGGGAGCTGACCCTCGACTGGAGCCGCTCCTCTGCAGCTCTCCAGACTCTCTGATCAGACTTCCCTTACAGCAGATCACCCGCAGTTTGTTCTGGTAGGACGAGGCCAGGTAAATGGCCCCGGAGGAGATGGCAGGGCCCAGGTAGCGGGGGCTGGGGATGTCCAGGTGGGCCAGCACTGTAGGCCTGTAGAAACACAGATAGCGATTAGCGATGCTCGGAAATACAATAACAAAAATTAGAAACGTTTAAAACTTGGTAAAACTTCTGGATCTGTCTCACCCCAGAGCTGCGTGTCCCTGCACCTCGATGACGTCCAGGGAGTTGAAGTAGGTGACGAACAGGTAAGGCTCTCTGTAGGCTGCACCAGACAGGAAATCAGTCAATCTAGTTTTATTTGTATAGCCCATATTCACAAACCCGAATTTGCTTCATAGGTCTTAGAAGGATGTGAAATCCTCTGCCCTTAACCCTCAAGAGTGAGGACAAAGTCCCAAAAAACCCTTTAACAGGAGAAACATCAGAGAGCCACAAGTGAGGGATCCCTCTCCCAGGACATGAATTATGGAATTATATCAACTTTAACATTTGGTTGTCTATTAATGCAGCGTAGCACAGTAGGTGTTAGAGAGTTTACAAACCAAAAGACAAAGGCAGACGACTCCACTTAATCTCCTCAGTGCGGCTTCTTCGTCCGTACGTGTCCACAAACACTCCGAACTCTGTCACACAAACAAAGAATCTACTCACTCCTGAGTCTGCCTCTCGTTGTATCTCACTTCAGCACAGGACAGTATGAGACTTCGAGACGAAGTTAGCACAAGTCTTATTTTATCATGTGAATTTCTAGTAAAGATCAGAGACACGGCAGGAGATGAAAAAACTGAAAATATACTTAAGTGTTTACAATGGTGCTTGTGGTCTTACAGTGTGGTTCAGTGATGATCTAGTATTGTATCTACTCCTACACTGAGTATTACTGTCTCATGTGAGTGTGTAGAGAGGTTTGTTCGAAACCCACCGTGAAAACACAGCAGGTACTCCTCCTTCTGCATGCTGCTCGCCACCTGCATGATGGCGATGGGGAAACTGTGCGACGAGGCTGCGAACACCGCCGAGGCCAGAGACATGTCGTTCTTATCCAGGAACTCTGCAGTGGACAGAACACAGGACCAGTGGGTAAGACACTGTGTCTGTTTGAGCCAGTGATTCAGTCATATTACACACAAACCTTTAACAACACTAAAATATGACCCTGTTTTACACAAACTCTGCAGTGAACAAATATTAAAGACTTCTGTATATCTGTATATCACTGTAGCTACTACTATAGCTGTCAAATACTGTAAATGAAGTGAAGTTCAACATCTTTGAACAGAATAATAGAATCACAATCAAACTGCTGTTAAGTACATCTTTTTTTATTGTAGCCAGTTGTTGTTTCCTTACCCTCGAGCACAAACTGCTTCATTTCAATCTCATAGAACTTGTTGGTGCCGATGATGATGCTGTAGCTGGTCAGATGGATGCAGCTGCACGGCTCCAGAGTCTCAATCTCCTGTGAGGTGAAGGCAGGTGAGTGAAAGACAAGTAATTCGTTCTGTCTAAGTTTGGTATGAGTTTCAAATCTGTTATTATCTTTTGTATTCGGAATAAAAACATTACAAAATACTTATTATTTCCAGGAAGGAAACACTTGCAAACTCACTGATTCTTGTGAACTTGATATCTCAAGATCTTGAGGGATTTTCTTCAAATCTGGGGTAAACATTCATTTAGACTCAAAGATGAACGGATTTGATCATAGAGGTCAAAGGTCACAGTGACCTCATATGAGTCAGGAAATAAAATGTATGTCGACTGATACTGCACTGGTTGGCAGAGACATACAACCACAGGGTGATCATTTGAGTCAGGTGACATGAACTGTACAATTTTAATTTGGCTTCTAATTCTTCTTTTGTTCCTTGGTCATTTATCTTCATATTGTGTAATGCTGCTCTTTTTAGTCCACTGTATAATATGGTGTAACCACAACTAATAATTGAAAACTGTACATGGCACTAACAGGTCAAACCCACCTTACGGATGCAGTATTTGTTAAGGTTGTCATTGTAGCGCAGGATGGTTATCTTGTTGGGCATTGCAGCACATATACAAGGACAGTTGTCGATCTGTAGAGAAAGCACACGTGTCACTTTGTACCGTAAAGTGCTTTGAGTGGTCATCAAGACAAGACAGATCGTTTACCAATTACTTTCTACACTCTGTGCAATGACATCTTGCTCATAGCGTGCAAGAAAACACATTAAAGTCTTGGAGCAGAAAATCTGCCTCATCTCAGGCTTCACAGAGGAAGAAGACGACTCACTCTCCCA